AAGAAGGAATGACAGGGGGCCGCTGTCCTGTGTCTGAGTAAGAGATACCCTTGCATTTCATAAATCGTGGCTACTTAGTTTTAATATTACAGTTTCCGACTGCCTTCAAGGCCCAAACGCCCGCAAGTCTCGTGTAATCCCATGACCTTCACTTTCTGATGCTGCAAGCTCCTCAACCGTCATCGCGTACTCATCCTTCCTCTTTCGCGACGTTCGCACACTTGCCAGGGTCATATCGTCGCCAATGTCTGGTTTCGACAGCTTCCGTCCCAGTCCCACAAACTCATCACTGTTCTCGTTAAGGAACCCCAGCTCCACAAGCCGGTTTCGCACTTGTGTCTCCGTTTTCTCATCGTAGAAGAAGCGTCCAAGCTTCATGAGGCTTTTCTGTACGAAACTCTTGAGCGTCGGAATAGTAGCCGCTATCAACGCAAGTTCGAGCTCCAACATCGACCACATCGTAGGCATAACAGTTGTGCGAAAGACATCATGAGATGTATAGATCATGTTTGCGCCTGCAGTACGCAAGATGGCGAACGACGAAGCGAACAGTCCGAGACCCATCAGTACGCCTAGAAAAATCTTTTCGCCACGCGGTCGATGCAACTTTCGGATGAAAGTTATCGGTATGAAGGAAAATATCAGGTCTGTTGAAACGTGCACGGTACTCGCAGCGATGATATTCCCTGTGATGAGCTCCTGAGGTACACATGATACACCTCCTTTGAGAAAGACGCTAGAATCCCAGTATACGCTGAATGGTTGGCATTGCAGGAACTGGAATAGCGTCGATGTTATGGCTGTGAGGATGAGTAGTACCATCATGCTGTAGAGGAAGATACGCCATGCGTGTGTTTGCTTGATGCGAAGCAAGAGGAGGGCGACTGAAATTTTGACAAGACAAATCGACACGTTCCAGAGGGCTTGACAGAGGAAGATGAGTCGCATGGCGGCGAGCCGCGAGGCTGCCGAAACGTACTTCGTGCGCTGACCGAAGCCGTTAGCGCATGCTAGGCAAACGATGATGTATTTTGCTATCGCAAGGACCTGTGCGCGTTCGAGATCAGATGTGCGTTGGTAAGCAATGGAGTCTGGCTTACTGTTGCTGCGACGGCCGTCCAATCCTCCAGATGCAGGTTCCATAGTGGGCGCACTCTCGACCAGAGTCTTGCGGAAAGTAGCAGAACAGCAAGTAGCGTCAGACTACCGCATACGCCAAGGAGAAGAGGCGCCTGGGTGTCATTGCGCTCGGGACCGGGCATCAGCTGTCTTACTCGCAGTTCCATATTGCCAATCGTAGATTGTACACGGAGTGCTGATATCATGCTAATGTCGAGTAAAAAGTAAAGGGAAAAGAAGGATGGAAACTGCCCTCAAGCACGACAGTCAGATCTCTCATGTCTATACCACTCATACCTAGCCGCCGTTTCCAGTAATATACTGGACCTAGGGACCGCATAACAACACGACTCACCAATCACACATTTCCGACTACTTGGGCTCACAGGCCCCCGGGAAATCATTCAGACTTGTCTCTCCTATTGGCTCACGTTTCGTGGTTCGCAAATACTACCCTGTTGTCATTGTGGTCGTAGCGTGTCAGAAGTGTTTCGCGTAGTCGCATAATCACGATTATCCATGTACCCCACAGATTCTCGTTCTCACATGACGTTCCGAGGCCTTCAATTTATGCAGATGCTGAGGTTGTGTTTGAGATGGTAGGATGAGGTGCAATGGACTCGTGGCGGAGACCGAGGAATGCGAGAGGGAGCTGTTAATAGAGGGTGCAGACCTTCGAAGTCAGGAACTACCTTTATATTATAAGAGTTTCAGTGTGCTGATGAAGAGCTATAGTGCGTCAGATAAGCGTAGAAGATACTACTTGAGGAAGAAGGTGGGGAGATTACAGATCCAGGTTCAACGTAGACCTTGGTTATAAGCGGTCATGCTAGGTTGTTGAATGGATAAGAACTCTGGTCCTTCCCACGCGATCGAAAGGCCCCGAAAGTCGATTTTTCTTCACCGTCGGCCAAACTCCGAGGTGCTGTATACGCCAAGCAGAGTGGCCGTGCTGATAACGTACTCATGCTAACTGGAAAAGGTAGACCTCGGGACTTAACAACCATACAACCTCTCCTAGCAGTCATGCGACGCCTCTCCTAGCTAATCATCAAGCTACCGCCAGGCAAACTGTTGCCATTCGATCGTCCTCGCTTCTTCAATGTCAAGGTCTAGTGATGGGGTGAGGTCGCCTGTTCCTGACTCCCGAGGTCTACTAGCCGGCTTTGCTAGTCGTTGATTCGTGCGAACAAATTCCCCCACGTCCCGTGAATTCCTCTACCCCAAGGCTCTATCTCCACCTTTAGAACGTTAAGTGCGGAGAATTGTTCTTTGCTCTTACCATTCCAGGGAAACGCTACCTAGCTTGGACTACCCGGCCGGACGGATCGTGGCTCATGCCAAGGGACTTACTGTAAAGGCAGTACGATGGCGTTCGCATGCACATGGCACACAACATCTGCCCAGGCGCGAGATCCAGATCCGCATCGTGGGCTCTTGGCCCTGCATTGACGCACGGCAGTCTGCTATATAAGAATAGATACCTAGGTAGTCTTCCAACGATCAGCGAGGTTTGTCTCCGCAACAAATCCCGTCATGTCGTCCACCAAGACCAGTCTTACGGCTCTCGCCCTAGGCCTCTCTTCTCTCTTCACCCCGGCCTTCGGCGCTCCTTCGGCATCTTATGACCCGGCCAAATTTGTCAAGGACCCATACTCCAGGGACTACTGGCCCGCGCCTCGCAAGATCACCGGTGAGGACTTGAACGGTACACTTGGTGGTGTCCACATTCACGACCCGAGTGTTGTGCTTGGACCGGATGGCCACTACTACTCTTTCTCCTCTCACGGCTTGGCCACAACATCTCGTGCTTCGAAGAAGAATAGCCTAGAAGGGTATTGGGAGGTTGTCAGCCAAGTATTGCAGCCGCCTGGCAGCATTGACGACCCTGCGAAGGCAAGCCGTCTTTGGTGAGAAACAGCAGCCTAGGAAATGCTCCAAGACCTCATATTCTAACGCGACAATGCAGGGCTCCTGATGTTCACAAGATTGGCGACACCTACTACTGCTACTACACTGTCTCTGACTTCGGTGTCTCAGAGTCCTTCATCGGGCTTGCCACCTCGAAGACCCTGCAAAATGGGTCCTGGACTGACCACGGCATGGTTGTCTCCTCTAACAGCACTGACGCTCCCTTCCCGTTGAGCAAGACCAACACTATCGATGCGGCTTTCATCCAAGATGCCAAGACAGGTAAAAACTACCTCACCTACGGTTCGTGGTGGGCCAATATCTGGCAGTTCGAGTTGACCAAGGACCTCAAATCCGTCAAGATCCCTACTGCCCGTCAGTTGAGCTACACCTACGATCCCGTGCTGCCGACTAAGGAGCAGGCGTACGCCAACATGTCCCTTGCTTGGGGAGGTGCATCCGCTGAGGAGGCCCCGTATATTAACTACAACAAGAAGCAAGGCTTTTACTACCTTTGGTACTCAGCGGGACTGTGCTGCGGCTACAACCCCGCTGCTCTGCCCCCAGCTGGTGCTGAGTACACTATCTTCGTTGGTCGTTCCAAGTCTCCCCGCGGTCCTTTCGTTGACCGCAATGGGAAGGATCTTGCTGAAGGTGGCGGAAGCATGGTATACGGCAGCCACGGTAACACCTACGGCCCCGGTGGACAGGCGGTAATTTCCAACTACCACGGACGCGACGTGCTGTACTACCATTACGTCAACACAACATACGATCCGCTGTACCGAGACAACTATAAGTTCTTGGGATGGAATCCAATCGAGTATGTCAAGGGCTGGCCGGTATTGGTGGCATAGCTGGAGATAGGATAGAAATGTTGTAGTGTACAATACTCTATGAGATGGTAGCAAAACTTGGTATATAATACAACCACAAGTACACATCTTTCACATACGACCATAGGACACTGAAAATTAGGCTTCCCGTCCGCTCAGCCATATACAAGCAGTGTACCGGCGGATTAGTAGTTAGGTGGGTGACCACTAGCGAATCCCCGCTGTTGTATGTTTTTGATTGTTTTTGTTTGTGGACTTTCATATACATCTGTTCTTCTTTTTTGCGTCCTGTCGAAATGACAGGAAGCAGCGCGAACGCATGTTAAGAAATAAGCGCGTGGCGTAGAGCGTAAAGAGATCCGGGGCGTGTAAGATACCTAGGTAAGAGCTGCATACGTCCGATGATGTTTGGCCGACCACTATTAATCTTCGACTATCTAAATTGGTAGGGCCAACCATCACATCTTTGTTAGCATCGGGCGTACAGCAGCTGACTGCAGGATGCTCACGAATGGCATTGTTCATCCTTTCGTGTGCCGTGACAGGGGCTGGAACGCCCCGCTGTCAGCACATCTACATATGAGCAGCATCCTGGAAATCACAGAGACTTTAAGTCTGTCAGATCTACAGCGAGTTCAGAATGGAATACAACATAGCAAAACCATCCGTAGTCCAACTCTCGATCTCTTTGATACTAGCTGTAAGTATGCTAGTAGGAAGAAATGAGAAAGCGCTTCACTAACATTTTGCGTAGTATCTGGTTTACTCATTGTTCCAAGCAGTCTACAACATAACCCTTCACCCGCTCTCCAAATACCCAGGACCGAAGTTGCGTGGCGCTTTCTGGATCTCTAACTCTTTCGACGTACTCGCTGGGACCGTTCCGCACAGCTGTCTGAAGCTTCACGAACAGTATGGAGATGTCGTCCGCATAAACCCAAATACAATCTCATTTGTCAAACCTGAAGCATGGCGAGGTAATGACACTTTACTTTGAACAATTCTTGCCTGAGTCCGGCTAACTTCGAATAGATGTGTACGGCTATGGCACCACTACGCCGCTTCTCAAAGACCCCAAATTCTATTATCGTCCGCCGACCGATATAAGCTGTAGTTTCGAGCCTTTTCCATCACATGGGTCTTACTGATGTCACTTAGCTGCCAACAATTCGGACCATGCTCGAATCCGCCGACCTCTTAATCACGCCTTCTCCGAGCAAGCTCTCCGAAGCCAGGAAAGTATCATCACCTCATACATCAACCTCTTGATCGAGAAGCTACGCCAACGAGCCGACTCTCAAACTCCCGTCGATATCACGCGCTGGTTGAACTTTACGACATTTGACATAATCGGCGACCTGACGTTTGACGAATCGTTCGGCGCACTAGATAAAGAAATGTATCACTCTTGGATGGTCAATCTTTTCAAAGCCCTAAGATTCGCTGGTATCGTTCACATCATTAAGCGCTATCCCATCATCGGGGTTCCTGCTACGCGCTTGTTGAAGTGGATGCCTGCATTGGCGAAAGCAGAGTTCGAGCATAACAACTTCACCGAAGAGAAGACCGCAAGGAGGCTGGCATCCAAAACTGAGCGTAAAGACATTCTCAGGTAGGTGGTTGTATGGTTGTTTCAGACGCCCAGGTTACTAACGACGATGAAGTTATGCTGTCAAAAACATCAAGGGGGAAGTAACGGATCTGGAGCTCAAGCATACTTGTGGCACTATCATACTTGGAGGTAGCGAGACTTCTGCAACGCTTCTGAGTGGTGCAATTTACCACCTTCTCAAAAGCCCAGCTTGGATGGAGAAGCTCCGCCAAGAGCTCGCAGCTACCTTCAAGTCCGAAAGCGAGATCTCCTTTGCATCTTTGAGTCAGCTCAAAGTCCTCAACGCTGTCATCCAAGAGACCTTCCGAATCTATCCGCCGGCACCATCAGCGCTTCCTCGGGTAGTACCACCTGCTGGTGCAGAAGTCTGTGGCGATGCTCTACCACCTGGCACGCAAGTCGGTATCTCGCAATATGCCATGTACCATACTTCGTCTCATTTCACTGATCCCAAAGTGTACGCACCAGAACGCTTCCTCGGCGCTGAAGAGTATGCAAAGGACAAGCGTCACGTCATTCAGCCCTTCAGTGTAGGGCCAAGGAACTGCATCGGCCAGAATCTCGCATGGGCAGAGATAAGAAGCATTCTAGCAAGATTGGTGTGGCATTTCGAACTCGAGTTGCTTGAACCAGAAAAGAGGTGGGACGATCAAAAGGTTTTTGTGCTATGGCAAAAACCAAGCTTGATGGTGAAGCTGAGAGCTAGGGATCCTGGGTCGTAAACCTTTCGGTCAGCAAGATATGAGCATCGAATCCATGTATCCAAGCAAGTATAAGACAACCCAGGCGTTTGCCGAGTAGACGAATGCTTCTAGAAGTGGATATTGTCTACCATGTACTCTTTCCTCTCACGATTGAGCTTTGTAGCAGATATTCCCGAGTTAGCAGTTCTGGAGCGATTTGCGCAGTGAAGCATGTACTTTCGAGGCAGCCCAAGATGGTGCTCGCTCTAGGCCCCTAATGACGTACACATCTTCCACGTGGGAAGCGGAAAGAAGTTTAGCGTGGCTCGGTCTAATCTTCCTATTTTGCCGACTCAAGTCGGAAGGAGCAACACCAAGACGGCTGCTACTATTGCCTCTGGTCTTCAATTCACCCTCTTAAGCACTGATTGGTTTCGATGCTACACTAGAGTTGAAAGGTGAGTACGATGAGGTCTGATAGCGCATAGTATTCTTGTATCCAAGACCTCCACTACGCATCCAATATGCCGAAATTACTCGCAGGGCTAAATTGTGTCCCGCTCAGCAACCCGGCTCAGCTTCGCTCAGAAACAACCCGTATGCTACCTGTAGTAGTAGCAGTACCGACCGGAGGTTACGGCTCATTAATAGCACGACATGGACCCACCATCAATGTTACCCCGCAGCCATCCGTACTCGGCTGTAATCTGCATACCACCGCAACACCAGCGCTTTAGAGCCAGACTATCGCCTTGCTGGGAGATGATAGACAGTACAAGACGACTTAAGAAATGCTACCCGAATTGCTTATGTGGTAGGTAGCATGCTCGCGGACCATCGCGTCACTGCCAAGCGTCATGTAAGGAAGGGATAAATAGTCTGCGCGGGGAAGCGCAATGAGGAGCGTTGCGTAGCTGACACTTCTGTTGAGTTGGCTTCTCTCGTTGAAGAGTCTGCGCTCAACCCAAATCATGGGCATTCTTTCTGTGAAGCACGCCTCGGCGTCCTTGCTGTGTATGTTCATAACATCTACAGGCGCACAGAATAACTCTTCACAACCACAACCACGATCCGGATATGACTACGTTAATCCTCTCATTGGCACAATCAATGGAGGTAGGATCAAGGTGTTCTTGAGAAGATAACGAATCACTGATTCATCATAGGCCATGTGTTTCCTGGTGCTACACTGCCATTTGGTGGGTGAAGACTTTTGTAGTATAACCCAAAACTTGCTAACAAGTACTAGGAATGGCCAAAGCGGGGCCAGATGTGATAGGCGAGAACCAAGGAGGGTTCTCTTCTAACGACTCAGAACCGATCTATGGATTTTCTCACATGCACGACTCGGGAACGGGTGGTTCACCGTCGCTTGGTAACTTCCCAATATTCGCCCAATCCGGGTGTGTAAATGATGATATCAACGGCTGTCAGTATTTCAAGTCTGAACGAGCCGTTGAGCGCATACCCGGAAGTGTTCATGCAAGACCTGGTTACTTTGATATCACACTAGCCAACAACATCAGGACTGAGTCAACTGTTACAAATCGTACGGCTTTGTATCGCATTACATTTCCGGAAACACCATCGACTCCGAATACAACACTATCACCACATGTATTGGTTGAGCTAACGGATTTGCCGAACACGAGGAGCGAAGCAAATATTACTGTGGGTGCTGCAACTGGGCGCATGACAGGAAGTGGAATATTCTCGCCGTCATTCGGCATCGGCAAGTCATCTTCACATAAAAACTGAATTTGAGACACTTACTAACTTTGTACGCCTATGTCTAGGCACATATCAGTCGTACTTCTGCCTGGACTTCAATGGTGCAAAAGTCAAAGAAGCTGGCGTATGGTCCAACACGCGCGCGACAAACCGAGCAACAAGCCTACGGATAGCTCCCAGCGATGTACGACAAACACCCAGTAACACACCAGCAGGTGGATGGGTACAATTCGAGAAGCCTACCCAAGACAATCAGATCCATGCGCGGGTTGGAATGAGCTTCATTAGCGAAGAGCAGGCATGTTCCAACGCTGAACGTGAGATACCTTCATGGGGGTTCGACGACATTGCTGCCGCTGCTGAGACTGCATGGCGTTCCAAGCTTGATGTCATCACCGTCGAAGATGGCGGTGTCGATCAAGTCTTCCTTAACGCTTTCTGGAGCGGCGTTTACAGGTCAATGATCAGCCCCCAAGATTACACTGGAGAAAATCCACTCTGGAAATCTGACGAACCATACTACGACTCCTATTACTGCATCTGGGATAGTTTTAGATCCATTCATCCTCTGATCACACTTCTAGACCCACATAGTCAAACGCTTATGATACGAAGTTTACTCGACATCTATCGTCATGAAGGGTGGCTGCCCGATTGTCGCATGAGCCACTGCAAGGGTTTCACACAAGGAGGCTCAAATGCAGATATCGTTATTGCGGATGCATACTTGAAGAACATTACTGCTGGTATCGACTGGGTGTTAGCATACGAGGCTGTCGTCAAGGACGCAGAAGTCGAGCCACCAAACTGGGATGTTGAAGGTAAGATTGCAGTTTCTCCGTGGGTAGGATCTGAGTACTAATTATCAAGGCCGTGGTGGTCTCGTATCTTGGAAAGAGTTAGGCTACATCCCTACCCAAAATCTCGACGTCGAAGGCGTGGGTACAGAGACTCGCTCTATCTCTCGGACTGTAGAATACGCCTACAACGACTTTGTCATCGCTCTTCTCGCCCGCGAACTCGGCAATACAGCTGACTACCAGAAGTACCTCGGCCGCTCTGGTAACTGGCACAATATGTTCAAAGCCGATCAACGTAGCATTATTAATGGTACTGATACCGGGTTTGAAGGTTTCCTGCAGCCTCGATACCTGAACGGCACATGGGGCACTCAAGACCCGATCTTTTGTTCCCCACTACTCAACTTCACTGGCTGCTACCTAAATCCTAGCGGAGGCGAGACCTACGAAGGTCCAGTGTGGCTATACACTTTCTTTGCTCCTGGAGATATGGCGACTCTTATCCAAACCCTAGGAGGACGCGAGCGCTTCGTTGAGCGTATGAACTGGCTGCACGAGTCCGGTGTCTTGTATCTTGGAGATGAACAGGCTTTCCTCAATGTCTTCCTATACCATTACGCTGGACGTCCTGCTCTCTCGGCTGAACGCGCCCATCAATACATTCCCTCGTTGTTCAACGATACCGTCGTTGGCATACCCGGCAATGACGATAGTGGCGCCATGGGATCTTTTGAGGCTTTCGTCATGATGGGATTCTTCCCCAATGCTGGACAAGATGTTTACTTTATCATACCACCTTTCTTCGAGTCCATATCTATCAAGAACGGCCAAACGGGCAATACAGCAACAATCCGCAACATCAACTTTGACCCAGGTCATAAAAATATCTACATCCAATCGGCTACCCTCGATGGTGTATCTTACACGCGCAACTGGATCCAGCACAACTTCTTCTTGGAAGGTGGTGTCCTCGAGTTGACACTAGGTCCCCAGGAAAGTGGCTGGGGAAGGGCGCCGGAAGACGTGCCCCCTAGCCTAGGACCCTTCGCAAACAACACCATGCCGGAAAATGGATCAGTCGTTGCGGATCGGAGGTGGACGATGCCGAGGATGCAGTTTGATTTCGCTGGTAGTCAATAGGTCGTGAGAGAGCGCGAAACCGTCGTATTGGAAATAAAGTGGCAATAAACCTCGTGAAGCACATTGCTCTAAGTCAACCTCAGTGGTGAACGTGGATTGTTTATCTCCCTCATCGCTACTTGACATACCAATGCCGAGTCACAAAACCATTGCTGAACGCGATCTGGTAGTAGACTAGGATACTATCCAATAAGAAGAACGATTAAACCATCAAACAAGATCACGCAATATGATTGAATCTTCCAGAGCCAGAGGCACGTTTCCACAATGACCTCGATGGTATTCTGCCTGGTCTCGGAAGCCCAGCGAGCTGGAAGTCAGCTGGAGGCCAACAAAGACTGAGAACAGAGATATATCGCTTGGGGCTGCCGGAGGCTGAGGTTTGTAGTGCAATGACCATTGGTTCATGGCTAGCGCAGTTTGTGTCAGGGCATCAGAGTAGTGGTTGATGAGCGAATGGATACAGGGATAGAATAAAGCAAGAATGATGAAAGAATGCATGGCATCTACAACTGAAGTGTGGCTCGAGCTACCAGCCTCGTCAGATCGGCAATGACGAAATCAAGTGTGAACGCTTAGGCCACTGGCACGATCGTGCGTCGGCGATGCTCATCGAATTCCATTAAGTCATTTAACAAACGTAACGATCAACGATTGACTAAGTTGGTATTCATCGTAAAGCTATGGTAAAGAGTGTGTGTTGTCGTGATCGTAAGTCATGAGTAAGGAGAGGCCATGGGTCAATCCAAGGAGACATGAGACCAAACTATCCCGCCTCCATCTACATCCTAAAGTGTGACAATTTGTTCCATCCACCACCAATCAAATTCGATCCTTTCTTACTTTTCGCGAACAGCAACACCGCCGTTCAGTCCGGCACGGGCCTCGGCATCCTCGCGGCTAATGACGCGGTGCGCACCGCTCCAGATACCAAAACTGCGCTTGATAGCCTTCCAGCTCTCGATTGCGCTGATGTAGATGACGACACAACCGAATGCAACGCCCCACTCCCAGGTGATGGCACCATGCTTGAACACCTTCTCGTTGATGATAGGAATGTAAACAATGGGGAACACGACGACCAATCCGGCCATAACAGCGAAGAAGAGGAAGCGATTGCGCCAGACTGTAGAAAAGACGGAAAGGCCGGGTGGTGCTGATGAGGGAGTATTAGGGTACATGTTAAAGAGGGAGCGAGCGAAGTGTTTGACTTCCCAGGCCGTGACAAGGAGAAGGAGGGTAATGGTAGCGTAGGTGGTGGCGCGAGCACGGAATACCACGTCGCATGTGTCGTTGTATCCCTCGTTACATCCAGAGCCAAGGTTACCTCCGTCAGGGCCGACATATGCGACAATGGCGAAAGAGAAGAGACAAAGGGCTCCCATGAAGAAGCCATAGATAAACTTGTCCGTGATCAACTCGGCTGAGAAGACACCCTTTTTGTTGTCGTGCGGTGGTCGGTACATGCTGTCTTCCTGTGACTCTTCGAGACCGAGACCGATGGCGAGGAAGGAAGAAGTAATGAGGTTGACCCAGAGAATCTCGATTGGGGACAGCGGGAAGACGGAGTGATTGTCTTGATCCTTGAAAGCGAGACCGATAAGAAGTAGGATGACTTGAGCGATATTCGAGATGAGCAGATGCATCAAGAACTATATTGCCGAACGTTATTGACTGATCATAGTATGAAGAGGGACAGGAAGCTTGTATACCTTTTGGATGTTATCGAACAGACGTCGACCTTCTTCGACCGCCTTTACGATAGACGCGAAGTTGTCGTCGGTGAGAACCATCTCAGCGGCGTCTTTGGCGACGTCGCTACCAGTACCCATAGCCATACCGACGTTAGCCTGCTTGAGCGCAGGTGAGTCGTTGACACCATCTCCAGTCATGACACAGAAGCGACCCCTTCTGTGGAGAGCCTGTACCATCTTGACCTTGGTAGTCGGACTACACCTAGCAATGACAAGAGGCAAAGTCTCCATAGCGTCCACCTCGTCTTCAGTCATCCTGTCGAAGTCTTTAGCGACCATGACGGCTGAAGCAGGGGTACGATCATCAATGATGTCCACATCCTTAGCAATGGCTCTCGCCGTACCTGCAACTTGGTTAGTATAGATCTCGCTTGCAATTCATGAGGGGATAATGCATACCAGGATGGTCACCAGTGAGCATGTGAACAGTGATGCCGGCAATTTTACACTCGCGAACAGCACCTTTGGTCTCCAGGCGAGGTGGGTCATAGATAGCGACAAGACCGAGATAGTTGAGATTAGCCTCGATGACATCACGTTCCGAGATATCAGTGCCGGCTTGTAGTTTCTTATGAGCGATACACAGGACGCGGAGACCTTGGTTTGCCATTCTTTCAGCGGCTTCCAGAATCTCAGTGCGTTCCTGGTCCGAGACGTTTAGTGCAGGCATCATGAACTCTGTTGCTCCCTTGGTGTAGACATCCATGAAACCCTGATGGTTGTCCTTGTAAACGACAGTCATCTTCTTGACCTTGGAGTCGAAAGAAAACTCGGTAGCGAGATGGATGTTGAGAGTGGAGAGAAGTCTCTCCTTGCCCATGTTGAAACGGGAAGCGAGAACATGCAATGCGACTTCGGTTGGCTCACCGTGCGCTACCCAAGGTCCATCAGACATGTCTTGCATGATGGCAGTGGGCGGTCGTGAGATGGTGTCGATAGTGGAGGCATCGGTGTCGCGATCGTCACCACTGACTGACTGATCTAGAGCTGCAGCCTTCTTCTCGCTTGGAGAGTCGACGTGGGTCTCAGATGGTGGTATGACCTTGGAGTTGTTGCAAAGAGCGATGGTACGCAGAAAGCGAGTAACAACAGCATTCGGCCTGTACTCATCCAAGTTGAGGAGCTGGTCATCTAGGGCGACGTTTCCGCTACAAGGGTTGTGTGGGTCTGTAATAGCGTCGATGGTGAATGTGCCAGCGCCATGCATTAGGGCCGTCTTTGCGACCATACGACCTTGGGTAAGAGTACCGGTCTTGTCAGAGCAGATGTTTGTGACACCACCAACAGCCTCAATGGCCGACTGGACCCTAGTAATGACGTTTGCTTTGGCCATGGCTTTGCCGCCAACGGCGATCGTAATGGTGAGGACTGCAATGAGGGATTCGGGAATAACAGCTACAGCAACACAGATACCATAGATCAGGACTTCTCCGCCAACCTGCCATTTGCTTGCAGAGAAGACAATGATGGCAAGTAGGATGGCAAGACCAAAGAGTAGGAGAGCGAACTTGCTCAACGTGATCTGGAGTGGAGTTCCAACAAGGCCTAGAATTGTCTTACCGCCGTTCGTGAAACGCTTGAAGATTCTGACAAAGATGTTGGCAGATTGTGGGCCAGCGTCTTTCTTTTGGCGAAGCATAGTGGCGATTTTTCCGACTTCAGTGTTCATGCCAGTTGCGACTACGATACCATGGCAACGTCCAGATGTCACCTCACTACCGGAAAAGGCAAGGTTGGTCTGGTCACCAGTGGCAAGGTCTAGCTCGTCGAAGGTCTTCCATGGTGTCTTCTCTACAGGTGCAGACTCTCCTGTCAGGAAAGCTTCGTTGGTGTAAGCATTGACACCGTCGATGAGGCGAATATCTGCGGGTACGATACTACCAACGGACAACTGTACGAGGTCACCAGGGACGAGGTCCACTGCCTTGACTTTGATGTCCGCCGTTCCGTCTCGGGTGACGGTAGCCTCAGGTGCGGTAAGCTTTTTGAGAGATTCGATAGTCTTCTCGGCTCGATAGTCCTGCCAGAAACCGACAACGATGTTCAGGAGGATAACTGCGGTGATGACGCCGCCTTCGATATAATCGTCTATGCCAAAGCTTATGGCCATGACAATGATGAGGACGAAGGTGAGACTGTTCGAGATCTGTCTTAACAGAATTTTCCACATGGAAAGCCCTTCAGCTCCCTTAACCTTGTTAGGGCCATAGAGCTGGAGGCGAGATTGCGCTTCAGAGTGAGGGAGTCCATGGCTGCGATCGTTAGCACAAGCACAAGGGATTAAGATATAAGCATAAGCAGTGAGCCCTACTGGATGTCCACTCGTAGTTTCTGTGCAACTTCCTCGGAGGTGAGGGTATGCGGAGCGTGGAGTGTGGGCGAAGTGTCGCCATTGGTAGGGTTCGGCTGGAGTTGCCTTTGGTTGGGTGCAGTATGCGGATCCTTACTACCACATATAGGGGGTTCATCGACGTTAGGAGAAGTCTCCTCGACGGCAAGTAGCACAGTTTCACCCATTCAAGTATATGTGATAACACTGGTAGTGTCGGTGGTGAAGAGACAGAATACGCCTTTGCGGGGGAGTCCTTATAGGCAGTTGGTCCTACCAGGTTTAGGCGGGGTTAGCACGCTAGACGAGCGACGTGGGTCCCCCAAGCGTGGAGAGGCTTGGAACTCCTTGTCCACCACGCCTCGTTAACGGTTACAAACGTCTACATTACAGCGTGTGTTGCACCAGTATGTACAATCGCTTTAATCAGCTGATGCCGTTGAACAAACGAGTACCCACAGCTGTTATGGCGGGACCAATAGTCGACAGACGCTGTGAGGCTGGGCTCATTGAGCTGCTCATTGATAGAACGATAAGAAGCTTGGCTGACGGATCCAAGAAGTCCGGTCGCCTCATCCCAGTTTTAAGTATCGACTGTGTGGCTTTGAGCCACTGTGCCGCGATGCCGAGATGTCTCGGCTGTTGGCGTTGAGTACTTTCGGAGTACTTGTCGGTACTGTGCATGTTGGTTCTCGCAGTTTCCCCGTGGAGGATCCAACGACTCCGCGTTTTGCGCGCTCTGTGTGGAGCCGTGTGATGCTTTTAGCCAGCAACAGGAGCATCCAGGATATGTGTTTCCGGGGTAGAGATACGACAGTAAGCAGCGCTGCCGCATATGACAGGTTGATGTTTGCCACGTATGCCACTTAAGGCTTGTCTGATTACAGGTGTGGCGGCACCGCCAATGATACGTCTCGCAAACCAATACGCCATGATGGCAACGCGTGGTTATGGTGCACTAGACCTGCAGCGCATCGAAGACTCGTCGGAAGGCCCAGTGAGTGTTATCGTGGAGGATTGTCCCGAGGAATGTGGATAGTGTCGCTTCGCTTGCCTGCGCAGTGTGCGGGTGATCGATTTCCGGAGAGACCATGGCGTGGCAGGATCCTTTTCAAAGTAGAAGATACTGTAAGGCATGGAATGTCGTTGAAATTGAGCCTCGATCGATAGACAAGCTCTGCACGTGGATACCTGGCCCAGGCGGGGCGGGTGGAATGGTGGGGGTGGCAGTTGCGGATTCTGCTCCTACAACTATCAGCATCCGAAAATACCGAGAAGGTTCGCGGGGTATACACGAACCTTACGAACTAAGGTAATCGCATAGGCTTGCGACCGGCCACACGATTGCATGCAATCGCTTCTTTCGATGACCACAAAACAAAATGGTTTTCTCGCTACGAGATTGGATAGAATTGGTGAACAGACGACGCTTTTGATTGTGTGGTCCAAATATATACTACGCCGAAGAACCCCATCCCAATGCCCATTATTAACCCTATACATGCATGTTCATAAAGTCATCAAACGCCCTTTGTAAGTCCCGACAGCCTTACTCAAGCTCAGATCGCGCGTAACGACTCAGCTTCCGACATACTCGAACTCGACGAACGGCGCGGCGCAAGCTGGCTATCCGCCTCGGCGAGCGCGGCCTGCATCGAGAAGCCAAAGGTGGCTGCGAGGTACTGCGCATAACGAATGCGATACGCCTGCGCAGGGTCTTCCTTTGGCTTAAGAAGCTCCTTCTTTTGTGATGAAACACCTGCTGGAAAGATTAGATGGGAGGCTTTAGTATGGTTGATCAAATATACCCGATGCGGGATGGAGAACTATTGAAGGCGTCATGGTAGGCGACAAAGTAGGTGAAGATGAGGGTGACGAAGAAGCGGACGAGTTGAATGGAAGAGCAGGCATGATGTCTGAGTTCAATAGATGATAGATGATAGATGGGTGGTGGTTTGAGCTGTAGGCGACGCTGATTGGTTGCGGTAGAGGTAGTTCGAGGTTTGTATGAGGATAGTTCTCTGGCGTCGATCCCGTCTTGCAAGAGTTTAGATTGAAACTCGAGATTGGTTGAAGAAGTTGCTGTGGATGCTTTGCTGCTTCGAGAGAAAGATGGGCAGCAGATGATCTCTTTATACGTGGCTGACGGCTGGGATCGAGGGACCATTCAATCACGATCGTGAGCCCTGCGGAAGCTTCACCGCACAATTAGAAACAGAACGAATGGCGCCGTCACGATAAGTTCCACACAAGAGACACCGAGGCATGCATCTCGATCAGCCCGAACCAATGTAACGTAATTGGGGGCAGATTGTTTCCTAGTGGAGAAAAGTGATACAAGCCGGTTAGCCATCCATGAATGCGCCATTTCTTTTCTTGTTACCCCTGGACCACCGCACTCCCGTAGCGCTTCCCCAGGTTTTTCATTCGTGCTTGCCTGTTTGAGCGGTGTAGTAAATGTTGCGCGCCAACCTGCTTTGAGCTCCATGCATGCGGTCCCTTGCCATAGCATATATCGCAATGCTCAAAACATTTTCACGATGCGCTGTTAATGTTCGAAGGCACACACAACAGATGTTGCGTGACGCATATAGTCCGACACAACTGCATCCAAGTGGCACCACCTGACTAACCTAGCCAGCATCGCTGCATAGGCCCAGCTGCGGAGCAAGTCGCCACATCCCGTCAAAGCCAGTAACGTTGCCGTTTAAAACGAGCAAATGACACAGCCAATATTCGCTATTTGCGCTGAAGATGACGACGGCGCAAGTAACCCTTGTTTATAGTGGAACGGCCGTGCGTCGTGTTAGATATCAGCAGCTACGCCACGACTGGGCACTTTGCGCTCACATATGGAATACATCCTTTGTCGCGATGGGCCTAGCCACCTCGCTTTGCACCTGCATATTGTTGGTGAAGTGTCAAACCTTTCCAAAGGACCACGTTGTTGGCGCAAGTCGTCTGGGACGTCTGAGTGCGCTTTCGCGACTCGTACAAGGTCCCATAGACCCATGCAAAGAAACGGGGAGACCTTTTTCTAGACTACCAGGATCTGCAACTAAACGTCCGCTTCAGAGGGCTGAACCGCAAGAAGCCGCAGCCAAGGATCCCCACCGTGGAAGCAGAAACACTTTCGAATTCTCTGCCATGCACTTTGATGCACTTTCTGACCCACGTCACACCGGACCCACAATATTCGTCAACATCGATATTCAAGCAACTTTTGCGATTACTCTCTGACATTCACGATATTCCAGGTATATCTAGCATTGGTTATGATGCTATACTACCATACCAAGGTGGTCCAGAAGCCTGACTTTACGTACAAGAAACCGGTGTAGCCCGCCCAAACGTCACGATGTTAAAAACGCCGCATTGTTCCAAACGTGTTCTATGCAGACGCCGCATCATGAGGCCTTGACGATCGATGAGGGGCAGCGCCATAAGCGGGACCAGTGCGGGGCCGATGCCTGTGAATCGGATGGCTCGGCTGAAAGCCGTCATTTGTCTGGAGCCAGGCACACGCAGCTGCGGTCACTGTGACCGCGGCAACATCACCTTCCTGTTTATTTTGAACCAAGACTTGGCAGACCTTCCCTCGATTGTCAGGTATCGCAGGCCTCCCTGCACTGTGTCAGCACGCGGAAAGCACTTTCCGACGTTCCCTTGCCCTTTGCCCTCATCCTTGGGCATGGGCATGCAAGAGTATGCACATCATTATCAAAGCACACAGCCACTCTCGCCATGCACGATATTGCCTCATCCCAACGCTAGGCTCATACTGTCAGCACGCACATTCTACAATGTCCATGGCGATGTAGCCTCGTGCCAGTGCGGCATTTCCTCAAACAACACCATATAATTATTCCCGCTGTGGAGCCCGGCGATCCGGTCCAGTCAACTCTAAAGCAACGTCAATCACCGGCAGAGTACAGCATGACCGTGAAATGCGACACACGAAGAATGTCAGGTACAGCGGCATTTACTACTCACCGCTATAATGTAAGTTTATCTTGTGGTCCATCCATCAGGCTTGCCCTGCATGCTGCATTAGGCCGACATCAGGGTCTGATGCGAGTGTATCTGATAGCAGCAAGACGTGCCTGGATCAATCTCTAGTCTGGTTTCACATATTGCGTGTACCAGATTCAGATAACACTGGTCAAATCAGAAGTTGGAGGTTGGATGCGCGAATATTGCGATGACTACTACATTGCAGAGGGTTTGAAGTTTAATTCGGCGAACCTACGCAACGCCATGAGTGACAAATGCGGCTGGCGTGCATATCACGAGTTGGACGAACCAATGTTTGCAGGAAAGCTGGGAATCTGGACATGGCTTATCCACAGTTATGCTAGGCCTCTGACCGGAAACACTCACTCCAGAAATCGGGCCTACATCCATCCGATACCAAATCAGGTACCATGAGACTCTTACGATGAATCAAGCATTACGCCGTGCCCCATCTGCGCGCATAGGAAAACAAAGGAAAGAAAAACAACGCAAGACATCCAACGGTAGACATGATGCCGTTGGCCATCACAGTACCGCTTCACCAGCGTTGGTCTGGGTACATGTAACCAATTCGTTGGCCAGGGCCGTCGAAGTTGCTTTGTGGAGCAGAAGGCCCCCTGTCGTCCATCATCGGCGGTCCACCTTGCATGCCGCCTGTGGGACGACCACCGACTTGCTCGCCGTCTGTTCCTATACCTACGTCGCGAACGCCATGGACTCTAGCCCCTCCGCGCATCGCGTTGCGAAGCCCTGCAGGAGCGGCATGTGGAGTAGCAAGAGGAGCAGCACGGGGAGGTCCACCATAGCTTGAAGGGCCTGCGGAAGGGCCATGCCCACGACTAGGAGGCATCTGGGGAGGACCGCCATAGCCTGGAGGTGGACCTACGGGAGAGTCACGAAGAGGGCTACGAGGACCGGCAGGAGAGCCGCCACCATAGCCACCATGTCCATGAGGAATGCCGCCTCCATGACTGGGAGGGGGTCTTGAGGGCGGCGCGCGTCCACCAGCATTCTGTCCATTCGCAAGCTGTTGAAACTGCTCCGAATCCTGCCAAATGCCATCCTCTCCAAGAAACTCAGCCCTGCAGATCGGGCAACGCTTTTGATCATCGGGTCGATTCAACAACATCTCCTTTAAACAATCCCTCCCAATCATGTGATTACACCCCTCAATTCCCTTGATTTGGATGCAAAGATGCGACGCACTCGGTGGCTCCAGACAAATCGGACACTCGGCATTTGGGGGCGCAATCCTGCCATCGCCAATGGGCTGCGTTCGTTCTTGTAAGAACCACGCCATGTCCTCTGCGGCTTCTTGCGAGAGACCGCGGTCTTGTCGCATAGCAGCGGGTTCGACTTCGTTTCTGAAAGCGCCGTCCGGACGAGGGCCTTGTCCACCGTCGGCGCGACCATTGACACCACTGTTAGCGCCATTAACACGGAACGGGTTCGGGCCTGTCCAGAAAGAGGACCGAAAGGCTCCTGGGCGACCTGTCGGGCGGCCGCCTAGGAGACTTCCGGGTGGTGGTCGTCCTTGTGGTGGCCCACGAGGTGGCATACCTCCGTCCATACCCATACCTGGCGGTCCCTGATCCCGACGCATGGTGTTGCGATACGGACCATTAGGTCCATAGCCTTCTTCGTGCGTGTTACCGTCGGAGTCTTGGTAAGAAGAGTAAGAGTGAGAGTTGCCGTCCATCATGGGACTACCCATCGCGTGATGCATCATTAGACCTTGGCCGCCCATGCTACCCATCATGGGTGGTACATCGTAGCCTTCATACGGATCTTGCTCTGCGTAGCCACCGCGTTGAATTTGGCTTGGTCGATAGCCACCGCCATTGCGGTGGCGGCCACCGAAAGGATTTTCATCCCAGATTCCGCCTTGAAAGGGTCCCATGTCGTTTGGTTCGGTCGATAGAAATTCGCGGTCTTAGGTTGTGGTTGAGGGTAAGTTGTTCGTGCTGGACGATAAGTTGGCGAGGAAATGAGCAAGTGAGCTAATGTAGTCGAATGAATCTATCGTTGTGCTATAAGGACGAACGACACCGTACTCCAAAAGAGTACAGTCACCGGACAATGATATGGTGAAAGTATTCGCGAAGAGTTGTATGTGTTCTCAAGAGGTCATCAACTAGGGCTATGGTTGAGATGTTCCACGTCACGCAACTGCATGAGTATGGTTAAGTATGAAGAGCACAGAAATGCTCTATGCCCAAAGACTTCATACGACGGCCAGGTATCTCAAGACGATGGAGAGTGCGGTATTCTATGCGTGTGACTCTATGTCCTGATGACCATGTGACTAAGAGGCCATGAAGATGGCTTTGAACATATAAGGTGAAGGCACGATTTTCACTTAGCTACTCACACATATTCGGATAGGCATGCGACCGGGTTTCAATGCTAAGCGTTCTGGTAAGGTGAGTATTTTCAAACTACAACATGTACTGAAAGGCGCGTTTACGAAATGCATGTATATTGGTTGCAATGAGTATCGAGAAAGAAAGTACATTATACTAGTAATCTAGGTTATCCTACTTCGTTATCACAATGACTAGGGTATCTACATCGCCCATCCGACCGCTATGCTATCCATACCCAAACAATACCGAACGTAAACAAGGACAGATCCTCACACTCCAGAGTAAACCTGGACCAAACAATTCCTAGCTATTCCTCAAGTTCGAAACTCTGCCGCCTATGAAAGTGGGACTACCAGCTCTACTCCTGGTCTTGGGTTGAGGTGTTGCACTCGTGCCTCTGGTGCCCACACCCGGCCTGCCAACGCTCCTCAGACGAACAATCTCTTCTTCCTTGCTCTGCAGCGTACGCTTGTAAATAGTCAACTGTGCCTCCAGGCTCGCGATTTGCTTTTGCTGTCGATCGTAGTTCTGATTCAGGTGCATGCCCTTCCGCTTTGTTGCTTCCCCTGAAGCTGCAGACGAGAGTTTCTTCACTTCTTCTTCGAGCTCTTTAACGCGGGCAGCATTGGAAGAAGCAGCGTTTTGCGCATCTTGGTAGGCTCCTCTCGTATATTCAAGTAGACTTTCCGCACTTGAAGCGTTCTGTATTGCTTTGTCTTTCTCCGCGCGTGCTTCAGCAAGTTCTTTGCGAAGCTTAGTGATCTCGGCGATCTGTGCATCAGGCGAGAGAAGATCGGTAGCTCGCTGTTCCTGTAGCTGCTGGTCTAGGTCGCGCATCTCTGCGGTACGTGTTGTAAGGCGCTCGGTAAGGGTAGCGTTATTCTTGGTCAACGTTTCCACTCTGGTCTCTGCAGCGCTCAATTTTCCCTTCTGAACACGATAATCACGGGCGAGATCTTCATGCTTCCCCTGCTGTTTGTCCCACATTATCTCACTCTCTCGAAAGTGCCTCTGTTCTGCCCTATGGGCTTCTTGCTCCTCTCGAACCGCTTCGTCAGCAGGAGCGGATGCTCTCTGCAAATCAAGCTCGAGGGCAGCAGTTCCGGGCATAGAGTCGCTTATATGCGTGACTTCGTGCTCCTTCTCTGCAACGGAAGCTCTTTGTGGTTGCGGAGTAAAGCGCATACGCTTTGCCGGGTCAAGGTCTTCTTCATCCAAAGGGCGCTTGGTACGCTCAGGTATAGGCGTATCTGTAGAGGGCTGCGACAACTGCGTCTGGTACTCAATGACATCCTTGACGCTACCAATAGATGGCAATGGCCATTCGGCCCCTTCCATTATGTTCTCGATCCAGCCGGCGACTTCTGAGGCGCATTCAACGTCTCGCGGCGTTCGGTCGTCGATGGCTTTTCCAACATCTGGGCGAACATGCGCCAGACTTGCCAGGATAGTATGCATACGCTCTACTGGGTCCAGACTCGATGCTACATACCGCTCAAGGTGGCCGACAGTCCTCGGAATGACTAGATGGATCACTGGCACCACATCGCGGTCGGGAGAATTTGCCCAGTTCTTCTTCCGAATTTGTGCTGCGTCCTGCACGCCATCGAGGCAGATGATCAGATCGGGAGCATGTATGATGGGCGATGCATCACTCGGTATGACAGTGACCAGTAAGCTACCCTCAGTCTCTTTGCGGTCTACATTCCAGTCTTTGCCAGGCATAGTGTATTTGATCAAATTTGCCTTACAGAAGGTCTGGATGATCCGGAACAGAGTTTCATTGTCCCGTTCCGTGACCAAAACAATATGTTTCTGCGGCTCGGAGTTTCGCAATTCCTGGAAAAGTCTGGCTAAGAACCTGAACTTGGTCGAGTTTTCCATGCCAAATCGAGCGGCATGTTCAGCTTGCGTCGACGAAGCCTCGCCGTTCAAGTCTTCTATTTCGGCTTCAGCGAAGACCAAGTCCATGTGTGTTTCAATAGCCCGGAGTTGGGACAAGATATTCTCGACTTCTTCGATGGGGCTCACACTCCGAGGCTCTTTGAGAAAGCGGTCCAACAAGTCCTTTTTAGACGAGATGTACTGGGCATACGTGTCGCTTTGTCGGCCTTGTATGAACAACGGCACGATGAACTCTTGGTCAGCTAACTGCAAGTCGTCATTGAGTAGACTGTCGCTATCCTCGTCATCTGCATCACTAACATCCATTTCGTCAGAAGCGGGGGACGTCGGTACTGGTGCGATAGGTTCAGACAGGGTTGGATCTTCAGCGACAGTAGGTTCTGGGGGAGCATCTGGCAGCGAAACCATGACCTTGTCCAACGGTGACGCTTCTAATGGTGTATTACTAGTGGCATAGGCAATGTTTCTTAGTGATGTTGGTGTTTGCGCAATAGGCGAACGGTCGGGCACAGCAGAAGGCGAACGAGTGCCTTCTGGCGGCTCATTTGTCCGTAGTCTGCTCAAAGGTGTAGAAGTAGCTGATGGTCCATCTCCTGTTACTGAAGGCGTGAAAGACGACCTGCTAGGGCGCCCTCTAGAAGCTCTGGAAGCTGCGAGGCGTTTGGCAATGTCCTCTTGCAGCCGTCGATGGACATTATCCGCAGCGCTCTCACCCGACATGATTGATGGCGATGAAGTAGGAACAGGTGTACAAGGCCGTGATGGAAGTCTGGATTCTTGAGTTCTTAGAGAATAGCTTGGTGGGTAAAGGACTGGCGAGGTTTCGTGATTTAGTGACCTTGACGGCCGTTCCGGAGTCTCCTGAGATGAGTCGTGACGAGATTCAGAGCTAGCTCGATGCACTGACTCTTTCTCGATGGTAGTCCGTATACTCTCAAGCGTGTCGTCTTGGGTGCTTAGATCTGCCTCGAGAGGTAGTACTTGCGCGTTCTGCTCACGTTCAGGGCTAGAGGAATCGTGGAGCAACTGAGCACAAAAAGTCTCGTTTACTTCGGGTTGATCTGGTGGCAAAGTGCTGTGAGTAAGAGCGGAATCAGATTGCAGAGATACTACTGGCGCGTCGTCGTGAACCTGGGGATTGTTTGGTGATGCTTGTATTGATTGGTGAGGTGGGTCGGACGCCGGCGCCGGAAAGGCCAGGCTTGGCACACTAACCCTGGTAAGCACTTGTCCTGGATGGCTAAGTGGTGTCGCGCAAGTATGTTCAAGCTGGTCTGGAACGGCAGTGAGAAGTTCTTGTAAAGGCTGATATGGTGCAAACGGATGCTGAGACTGGAAGGGGAACTGTTCGTTGTCTTCCAGTAGCGAGTGTTCGGTTAGACTGGGCTGACTGTCACGAACGCTATTTTGCTGGGATTCCTGATGTTGCGACGCCTCGTCAATGCTGCCGACCGCGAATTGTATACCGCTAGCTTCGTTGCTCCGTTCGGAATGATGCGGTTGGCTGTTGCCTACAAGCGTAAAGGATTTGTTTAGAAAGGATGGGGTTTCAGCTACGTCCGCGATATCTGTCGAAGCGTCTCCTGTAACGTCTGCAGAGGTTGGGTTCAAAGGCAGATGTTCGCTCTGTGTGCTCTCTCCTCTATCTGAGGTTGTCTCGCAGACGGCTTGAGCTGGACAAACCTGAGAGTCGATGTGATCAGACTGTCGCGTTTCGAGCCAGTTAGTGTCTTCTCTTATATGCTCGACTTGTGCAACACTCTGGGCGTCTCCGCTGGGTTGGATAGGCACGCTATTCTCAAGCTCTTGGCTCGACGCCTGGTCCACCTGTGACGAGATATATACAAATTCGGCTGTCGTCGGAGCAGCTTGTGATTCTGCTGTGGTGATATCGGGGATGGTCTCGGGGATGGATCGTGCAGGCGATGCGGCGTGTCGTGCGGCTTCTTCTATCAGTTCAAGGAGACCCTGCAAGTAGTAGTTAGTGGATATGCTAACTCGTAGGGAAACAGGAAGCAAACGTACCGAGTCTTCGACAACGTCCTCCTCGATGTGCGACTCGTTTGTATCTGTGCTTTGCTGGCTTGTATCTCCAGTATGCCGAATAATGGGAACAAAGCTTCCTTCGCCAATGGAGCTTTGCGAATCTGCAACTACGCCGGAAACGAGGGGTTGTGGCCGTGCAGCGAACAGCTGCGAGCTATCAAGGTCGGTGTCTTGGGTAGGTGCTTGAGTCGAACCAGGCCCAGACGAGGCGATCTGGGAAAAGCGCGCGTATTCGTCTCTTTCGAGACTTTCGCCACGTCGTGCGATCTGAATGCAAGGTGAAACGCGGTCTGCTGGTGCTGTGGCACTGGCCGAGGTTTGCGGGCCTCTTTGATCGTTGGGAGGTGTTGAAGATGTAGAGGAGCAGATGGCAGGTTCTGGGCTGCTGTCAATGACACGGGAATTACGAATGCGCCTCTGTTCTTGAGCGTCTTGCCGTTGCTCAGACTGTCCTCTGCTGCTTCCTCGCGATATTCGGCGGACTTCTTCCAAATCTCGCGCTTTCTCTTGCTCCCAGTGAGCGACAAGCAAGTCGTTCGCGTTCTCTTCTGGCTCCCAGGTTGGTTCCCACGCCTTGCCAGTTTTCGGGTCAAGGCCTTTCCATTGAATGTGATAAGTGCGCACTCCACGGATGGTCTTCTCGTCTAAGATGCGCTCTGCTGCCCATAGAGTGTCGTTGGTGGGTTCGCTTTCGCTGGAATCGATGTACCGTGCTCGTTTGCTTGGTTTGGTTCTGATAGAATTGCGCTTCCTCTTGGAGTGCGCCATTACGCGCGACGTCCAATTGAGATGTTATCCAAGTAGGTTAGCTCCATTGTGGAAAAGAGAGTGTGGAGATACCAATGCGCCTGGGCTGTTAGCAGGCGAGGGTGAGGGCGAGTGATGATGAGTGCGGGACTATCCGCGAACCGAATAATGACCCCTGCTGGCGGTGAACGCGTCACGACGCGTCCCTGACTAGTAAGAGACTTCACGACCACGAGAATAGGTGATAGTATCGGTTCGAACTTTGAGGACCCAGAGTACAATTCGATGCAAGAGATGATTTGTCAATGGGCACTGAGATCTGAAATAAGTCCCGTGTTCTCTTTGTGCTTAAAGTTCTAGGCCCAATGCATGATGATTGCGCAAGTTACTTTTGTCATCACAGCACGTGGGGACAAAGAAGTAAACGGAGTGTACAAGAACTTGTCAGGCAAGCTATGGATAAGCCGCCAATAGCCCAGCTATCAAGTCCTCTATAAAACTATACATGCTTCCGCAACATGATCGCCATCATGAACTAGGTATTCTACAAATTTCCACACATCAAGACACGCTCCACCAGATATGCATGCACACAATGGCCATAGGCCTCTCCAACTAATTTTAGTATCGCCCGCCACGCCCGGTTCCCCTCCAACCGCCTCTGTTGCCGCCACGCTGTCCCCCGCCATAACCACGTCCCCCTTGGTAGCCACCTCGGTTCTGACCATACTGACCATTGTTGCCGTACTGGTTGCCGCCTTGGCTGCCGTATTGATTACCACCCTGATTGCCGTATTGGCCTCCATGCTGGTTACTTTGTTGTGGACCGTGGGGCGGCATGTTCATGTTTGGAGGAAGAGGATGAGGCCATCCGCCGTTGAAATTGGGAGGCGGAGGGGGAGGTACCCATGCACCGTTGAAGTTGGGGGGCGGGGGAGGAGGAACGAAGCCTCCAGGTCCCTGGAATTGCGGTGGGGGAGGCGGTGGGACATCGAACGGGGGCATATGCTGCGGCGGAAACGGCGGCGCGTTGAAAGGCGCTTGCGGAGGCTGAGAATATGGTTGACCGTAGTTCTGGGGCGGCATGGGCGGAGCATGGTGCTGGTGATTACCAGGACTGCCCTGGCTATTCCTGTTCGGACCATTCCACTGCGATGCAGGTTGAGACCCATCTTTGTCGTATGCCCTTGAATGCCGTCCTGACTCAACGAGTCCTCTCTGCTCAAGCTCTCGACGCGTGGGCTTGGAGGATGGCGAAGGTGAGACCCTGCGGCGCCCTTGATTTTCTTCGCGAAATCTTCGACGTGGAGGCGAGCGATCATCGTCGTACGACCCAGAGGAACGACGAGAGTAACTACGACTTCGACTACGATTGTATCCCATTCGCTCCCGCCTGTAATCCGAGTCTGACGAAGAAGTAGTAGGCCTACTATGTCGGTCATCACGGCGCGCCACGGACGTGACTGGCAGGTCGTCCATGTCCTCCATACGCTCAGCATCTTCTCGTGCAATCTTGATGTTTTCCGGAACGCCGAACTTCTGCATATCTTGACAGAACTTCGGCGACCAACCGTATCCGTTTGCCACTGTCACTGTCTCGCCAGTCTCCTTGTTCTGCTTGACCAACTGACCCATGGGGTCCAACGACAGTTTGTACTTGGTCGTCTCGCTCGTCGGATTATCGCCCGTTGGCAGGTACTTGAGATCGATCTTTTCAAAGAAGTTGTCGAGCAGGTTGCGAACGTGAGGGCTGACAGGCTTCTTGTCTAGCCTCTGGACCTGGATTTTGGAGGGGTTGATTGGGCGTTTCGGGTACTTGATCATCTGCTCGAGCATGTATGATGCGGGGAGATCGTGCCATGGGGCATATCGGTCGCCGTGGAACTCTGGCAGGAGGTAATTGCGCTTGCGGACAGGCATGCCACCTTGGGCAATGAGCAAGGCTTCATCTGCCTTTTCCCGGCAGGTTTTGAGACTCTCTGTACTGAGGAGCCTATTGACAGTCCAGTAGTTGATAATGGCTCTAAGTTTCAACTCTAGCTGTGATGCCCTCTCAGTGATACATACGGCTGCTTGTTCGATCAAATCAACAACAAAGCTTTCACATTCGTCGCTGAAGATACCCTGCTTTATCGTGTTGCGACGATGGAACTTGTCAGTATGCAGGACATCGTTGACAATCAGCAACAAATCCATCCGGTTGCGGGCTGCTTTCTTTGCTGGTCCTGGAGCACTCTGGTCTACAACAATGGACTTGGAGACAGCGATGAGATAGTCACCGAGAATGGCGATCCGAGCCTTGGAGGGAGCTACGTGCTTCACGATCCACTCTGTGCATTTCTACGAACGGCAAATTAGTCTGCTCCCAGGGACATACGATCAATGGCTTTATAGTTAGATACCTGGATGTTCACACGCGTGTTCTGCTTAAGAACAGCATCTATGTTGCTGAAGAGCTGCGAGCTAACTTCGACTGGAACGGGAAGACGATCTTCGGTATCTGTCTTTTTCATTGCTTGCTTGAATTTGATCTGTGCGATTGTTAACACACTTGTCGCGCGCTTGACATCGTCATTGGGCGCCATTTTTTGCGACGTGCGGTTGCGACAAAGAGGTTCGTGGTGGAGAAGGAGGTTTGACGCGAGCGTCGCAAGGTGTTGATGTTTTCGAGCGCCAATGACGCTAAGCTAGCGCGCCTTCCGCTTAGTTCCACCCCGCCATTCGGCCAAGGAAAGAACAACCATGTCCGCAAACGATGCCATCCAAGATGAAGTCACCTCGCTCAACGCTATCTTTGACGAAGGAACCCTATCGGCCCTAGATGAAGACGCAAGATTATATAGTCTGCGACTACCTTCGCTGCCATCGATAACACTCCGCATAGAATTTCCTGCAGACTATCCGGACGCACCACCATCAGTGCTAGGCACACAGAGCGTGGGCCAGGATGTACCCAAGGGCATGGGTAGCCGTGCTGTCGATATTGTAAGAGAAGTTCTGGCAAAGGTCTACCAACCGGGCGAAGCATGTATCTACGACCTACTCGAAGAAGCAAGAGAAGCCTTGGAGCAAGCAGAACAACAAGGAGATATCCAACTACACGATCAACATGAGGACCATTACGTCGAAGATGAGGATGCTTCCCACACCATACCTGATCCAACCGTCGATTTAGGACCGGAACCACCATGGATCGTAGCACCTGCACTTACCGAGAAGAAATCAGTCTTCTTAGCCCGCGTAGCACCAGTATCATCGCCTGCTCAAGCCAGACAGTATGTTGCGCATCTCCTAGCGACAGACAAAAAGGCTGCTCGCGCGACTCATAACATGACTGCCTGGCGGATCAAAGGCCCCAACGATACAAGCTATCAAGACTGCGACGATGATGGCGAGACTGCCGCCGGATCTCGCATGTTGCACCTGATGCAACTAATGGACGTTTGGAACGTTATGGTTATTGTCACAAGATGGTATGGTGGCATACTTTTAGGTCCCGACCGCTTTCGCATCATCAACACCGCGGCAAGAGAGGCCTTGGTGCTAGGCGGCTTTACGAAGGAGGGTAAAGAGGGTGACACAAAGAAGAAAGGGAAGAAATAAAAGAGACATAATGCATACCCATTGTGAGACTTCTGTGTTGTTTCCGGAGCTTCAGATACTGTTCACCTCTACGTTCCCGATGTGATGACATGCCGAGCCTATGGCAGATAGTCCTTAGTAACATTCACTTAGTCCTGAAGATTTATGGACGTGGACAGTTCACAATGACTGTAACAGCATCACCCCAGCCAAAGTTTCATCCCAGTCTACATCAGTCTTACTTCCCAGGTACTCTTTCACGCAAGCGTCCATGCTCATATAAATTACATCCTTTTGCACTTCTCATTCGTGGTCACGACCCAAAACACGGTCTCAACTACAGATCGTCGAACAAACAACGATTTTACTCTTCAGGTCCATACAGACTGCAGAAAACGTTCAAATGTTCAACCATTCACGTTTCAAAAAAGGTTCTCGTGGCCACACTTCTCCTAGATCCTGTGGACGTAGACACCATCTTGGTGGTGGCTATACCGCCCGCCGAACCTCTCGAGGCGGCAGCCCTCAAGCTAGACATCCCCATAATCATCGAAATCACCCATTCAGAGATGCTGCTGTTACTCCTCGGTCTACCCTCAACGTTTCCCGTTACGGCGACGATTTCCCTATCCCAGACTACGGCAATCACATACGTAACTCTATGCACGCACTTGAGGAAGCAATGTCGAACCTTGACCGCAGACTTGGCGGCGTGCGACAGAGTCACGAAAGCCCTAGCGGCATCTCTTTCGGTTCACGATTTCCCTTCAATCAGGGTGGGCAAAACCATATCCCTGATATCAGCGGACTTCACATCAGCGAATTAGGGGGCGCCTTCAGCAACCCCATCTTTTCTGGACATCGTCCCGCTACTCGTCCTGAGTTCATGCTACACAGCTTCGAACCAGCCCGTCATTCGTCGAGGAGCGGCATCCCCTCCCAACGCCACATCGAGCGCATACCGCACCAAGGCTTTCAGCCAGGTGACTATCTCCCTTTCGATCATCTTCCAACTCAGCCACAGGAAGATGTGTACGACCTAGGACCTGTACTGTATAGCTACTCCCCTGAGGAGTTCGATCCCAACCCCGTAGCAGAAGACAGGGTGCCCACAGAGAGGAGCGAACGACGTATCAACCACTTCATCGCACAGCACACCGAACCCCTCACTGCCGCCAATACAACCAGCACGACAAACACAGACTGTCCCATCTGTATGGAAGACGCTACCGCTCACGACTGCGTCAAGATCAAGGGAATTGTAGGCTGTGAACACATGATCGGCCAAAATTGTCTCAAGGAGTTTCTAAGTCGACAGTGGAATAAGGATAAGAGATGTCCTCTCTGTCGAGCTGTTTGGCTTAGAAATGGCGTATGGGAAGATGTAGCGGCGCAGTCGGATGGACCAACTGGTCGCCAAGGTGCTTCTTTTGGTCATGGTAATCGTAATCGTCGGGAACGCGGCATGGATCGCGTGAGAGGGTTATTGCGTAGTGCGCGCGGTCAGCAGCGGAGGCGCAACAACTGAGTCGTGCTGAGTCAGAGATAGACTAAAGAAAAAGAGAAGCAAGCTGACAAGTTTGGTAGTGTGCTTTGTGACAGCTGTATAGGCATTGACAGAACGCTTTTGCACTACGTCTTCCTTTGCTGATTCAGATGGAAATGTAAGCTCATCATATAGTCACTAAATAGCTCGTGCCATTTCAAAATGACATTGATACTATGTTTCATCGGAAAAACGCTTGTAGTTTTTGAGCCTCGTTGAGGTGACATGAGAGTTACAGATGAGATGAGGACAAAAGAGGAAAGTAAATGTATAACTATGTAAGGAAAAGAGTAGAGAGATGCCAGGCCGTAAGAATCATACACGTATGCCCAAAACGCTCAAGATTAGTCTATCATACGTATCCATGACTGAAATCGATGCTTCGAAACATGTCGACCGTTATTCGTAACTTGGAACATATAACCGTCAGAGAGGATGCGATACTAAGAGCGGAGCATGGTAGGATGAGGAGAAGGCGAGCGTCCTCTGAGCATCGGCGTACTAGGCTTAAGCATTGGGCTCGCTGTAGCGCTCAACGCATCGAGACTGAGCTTGCTGATGGCGTCAAGATTGCCCTGAACGTCGTCCTCTGTGAGGTCGAGCATCAAACGAAGTTCGTTCGCCTTCAACTGCTCGCCCAGCCCCACCATCAGCTGTTCCTTGTCCTGAGAGCCCGGTACGTCATAGTAGTACCACCTGTATCCAATGTCTTCCAGCCTGTGTGGCTCCACGGGCGTTGTGATCCTTGCTGCAACGTGTCGCACATCCATGCCAAACACGCCTGATATAGATGGCTCGGTGCCGATGTCACCCAAACTGCCTTCGGACCTGCCACGTAAGGACCCAGGAACTTTGGCGTCCCTTTCGATGGGCGTTTCATTGATACGGTTCGAGGCACCTGCGTCACGCAGTTTGGCACGCTTGAAGGTTGCGTTCTTGAGCTCGGTCAGGCCAAGGACGATGTAGAGGGGCTTGCCCGCCCTGATCTGCTCGGCCATCCAGATGCGTGCTTCGGGGTCGCTGCACACAGCTTGGAAGGCCCTTGATGATGACTGCGTGGTCCGCTGTATCATCTGCTCGGCCTTGACAGTAAGCAGATTAGGCTGTCTGTATATCTTTCCCAGATCGAACCTCGCGCCATAGTTGGTTGTGAATCGGCCTTCGGCATCGACCGAGTAGAGGTCTTTGTAACGGAGCTGGATATGGAAGTCATTCAGATCGTCCACCTCTGCATGTGCCTTATCGGGGTAGAATGATTCGCGTTCTGGGTGTAGTGGCTCTGTGACCAGTTGGCCAACGACAAGGGAGTCTGCGGGGAGAGGCTTCGGGAGGAGCGCGTTCTGTACCATCGTTGCGGGCCTACGGGTCTCTAACGGGTATGTGGTGAGAAATGTCTGGGAAGATTTGGAGAGAGTTTACGTGTTAGCTATCGGGCTTCAGGGGCAGATGAAGCAGGAGCAAAAGTATGGTGTAGAGCTCCATTGCGCTGCGAATCAGAGGGCTGCATCAGACCCGGTGGCAGGTGCTTGGCTAATCTGGCTAGTAGGTTCTACACGCATTCACGTTCGCAGCTGCGACAGTGATATTGGATCACATACTGCGCGCCGAGCCAGATACGACACTGTAGATATCTATTGAGATGAAATGAAAGATTTGGCCGATGGTTAGTGTCACGTGCCGACGCGGTATCGGAGAAACTAAATCCCTACTGCCCATGTCCGGGACCGATGGGAGAATGACAGATTAGATCAGCTCACGGCGGATACCGGCAACGTCATATGTATTGTCAATAAAGCCCCATTGTATCTCCGTGGATAGATCACCGATGGCTGAGAGGCAGCTTCCACCCGCGTGGAGTTTTTCATGGATGCGCGGTTTTCCTTCGGCTTTGCCGCATCACACGCGCTCTAGCCCGGCTATTCCAAGGTTTGCTCGACAGATCGGATCCGCTTGAGACGTTTCGATATGCGCAGAGATTCTCGGAGCTGCTACCATGTTCGCCTGCAGCTACTGTACATGCAGGGTCTGTCAGAGACTTCAATCATGATCGAATACACAGCTGATTCATTCACTCTGATCGGGATTGAAGACCAAGGCAAGAAAGAGCTGAGTAACGATTACTGTTCCCTCAGCCGGGTTGGCAGTACGGCTCGACTAACTAAGCCTGGTCCTATTGTACGCGCATCGGCTTTCGACATGGCACAAGAGGCGGGGCTAGCAGCGTGGCAGCTTCAGACTGCATGAACAGCCTAGATACGAGGGTTGTCACGGCCAAATATCTTTGTCAAAGCCGTAATCGCTGACAACGCATGTCGTGTATCAATCGTGGGGTTCCACTTTGAGAACGTGCGACAGCTCGAGCACACTCAACCAGACCCGCGATGGCAGTACGCGTAAGGCGATTATGTCGTGTGATTGAAAGACAGGTACGGAGTCGACGGGAACGATAATAACGCGTGGGAAGAAAAAGCAAAGTGATGCGATGCGATGCGTTCACGCGCCGGAGCATTCGAAAAGATGGCCCAAGCTCCCGTAAGACGAGCTAACAGAGGGGCAGGAACGTCACAGCAACCCACCTCAACCCCCGTCTGTCGCTAGGATCTCAGTGGAATGGTAGAGCCAGACTGTCCACCTTCTAACCCCATTGGCGAATCAAACTCAGAGACATGACGTCCGATGGCTCCTAGAACGAGCCACACGTCACTGTCGACCCAGCGCCCCTCACTAACCACTAATGCGTGAAGTTGTCCATCAAGTCTTTTCAGCTGCCAAAGAGTACTTGAACCCCTCCGTGCCCCTCCAGATCAGCTTTCATCTTCATATAACATCACACTTCAACTCAATTCCCATTTTATATACCCCAAACTTCTTTACTCTTCATAAACCCACATAATCGCCACAATGCCCATCACCGTTCCCCAAGCTACCGAGCTCAAGGACCTCTTCAGCCTTAAGGGCAAGGTCGTCATCGTCACCGGTGCCTCCGGCCCCACCGGTATTGGCACAGAGGCTGCCCGAGGATGCGCTGAGTACGGTGCCGACCTCGCCATCACCTACAACTCTCGCGCCGAGGGTGCCGAGAAGAACGCAAAGGAGATGAGCGAGAAGTACGGCGTCAAGGTCAAGGCCTACAAGTGCCAGGTCAACGAGTACGCTCAGTGCGAGAAGCTCGTCCAGGACGTCATCAAGGACTTCGGCAAGGTCGATGTCTTCATCGCCAACGCCGGAAAGACTGCCGACAACGGTATCCTCGACGCTACCGTTGAGCAGTGGAACGAGGTCATCCAGACCGACTTGACCGGTACCTTCAACTGCGCCCGTGCCGTCGGTCTCCACTTCCGCGAGCGCAAGACTGGCTCTCTCGTCATCACCTCCTCCATGTCCGGCCACATTGCCAACTTCCCCCAGGAGCAGGCCTCCTACAACGTTGCTAAGGCTGGCTGCATTCACCTCGCCAAGTCGCTCGCCAACGAGTGGAGGGACTTTGCCCGTGTCAACTCCATCTCCCCTGGATACATTGACACTGGTCTCTCCGACTTCGTTCCCCAGGACATCCAGAAGCTGTGGCACTCCATGATCCCCATGGGTCGTGACGCCAAGGCTACTGAGCTCAAGGGTGCCTACGTCTACTTCGCATCGGATGCCTCATCCTACTGCACTGGTTCCGATCTCCTCATCGACGGTGGTTACTGCGTCAGGTAAACGTGTCATTCCGGAAGGAAGATACGAGTGGAGGAATATAATAATGGACGACGTCTTGCCGGAAGTCTTGTGTCCATGTAAATAGCATCGAGACATCAATAAAGCTTCGCAGGTTTCACATCACAATTGATCCATCCTTTCCTATCGTGACGTTATCTCATTTCTTTTCACTCACAATCCCTAGGGTGCGTTGAACATAAAATCTTTGTACACTTGCACGGTATGTTCTCTTCATCTAAGTAATGGTAGGGCTAACGCCCCAGGGGTGCGCGAATCAGCAACACACCCCCGCATTTTAGCACGCGAGTCAACATGATCACCATCGTTCAGCCGCGGCATCTCGACTCCTCCACAGTAGGATCCGGCGGTCTTTACATAGACTCTTCGTTCCTGCGAACATGTCACGCAACAACACGAAACGAGTGCGATGGCGAATCCCAAGCCCCAGACCACGACACCTCTTCCCTCCGTGATGCAACCTCAAAAGAAAGAGGCCTTCGGCAACTTGGCACCATGGAGCGAACCTTCATGGTACTCCTCCCTTACGTCTCCCTACTACAATGATTCGCACAAAAAACTCCGCAATGCGTGCCGCGCATACATCGATACGAACATAAAGCCATATATGTTGGAATGGGAAGAGGCCGGCGAAGCGCCCGCGCAAGAACGATTAAAATGGGCGCAGACTGGCTTCGCCTTTGCTGATGTGCCAGAGCCATATCGTCCACGCAATGTACCGGGGCCAGCGGGTATACCGGTTGGCGATTTGGACTTGTTTCACTTGATGGTTATGACGGATGAGAACAGTAGGATAGAGGGGGGCGTGGGCACCGCATTGGGAGGTGGAAGTGTGATTGGTGTTCCACCGATTGTGCATCATGGAACCGAGGAGCAGAAGAAGAAGTGGTTGCCGGGATTATTTACTTGGGAAACAAGTTTCTGCCTGGGCATCACTGAGCCAGGTGGTGGGGTATGTGTGCTTCTCCTGGGAACTAAAGAGAAGAATGCTAACATCACTGTGCAGTCCGATGTCGCGAACCTCCAAACCACCGCAACGAAGACCGAAGACGGACAGTTCTACATTGTGAACGGATACAAGAAATGGATCACTGGTATGCCATGGGCCACACATATGACAACCGCCGTTCGTACTGGTGGACCAGGCGCCAGTGGCATCTCTGTACTAGTCATTCCCACCAACTCACCCGGTCTTACGCACCGTCGCATACCCAACTCCGGTCAGAAAGGCGGAGGCGCAAGCTTCGTAGAAATGGACGACGTCCGCGTTCCCGTCAGTAATCTTGTCGGTAAAGAAAACGAGGGTTTTCGCATTGTCATGACAAACTTCAATAAGGAACGCTTCATCATGAGCATAGGATGCAACAGGAAAGCGCGGACCTGTCTGAGCGAATCATTCCACTACGCACACAAGCGACACACTTTTGGCAAGCCCCTCATCTCCAACCAGATCATCGCGCACAAATTAGCTACAATCGGTCGATATGTAGAGAGCCACTGGGCATGGCTAGAGCAACTCGCTTACCACATCCAACAATCGCCTCTCGGCTGGCAAGATCCCGAGATCGCGGGCCAAATCGCCTTGAGCAAGGTACATGGTGGCCGTATACTTGAGATGGCGAATCGAGAGGCTCAGCAGATATTTGGTGGCGCTGGATATCAGAAAGGTGGGCCTGGTGCTATCGTTGAACAAATCAGTCGCGATTTGAGGATGATGGTATGCTTGATTCTTCGGAATACTAATATGCCAAGGACACTATGCTAATATGTCACAGGTTGTTGGTGGTGGAAGTGAGGAGATCATTGCGGATTTGGCGGTCAGGCAGGAGACGGCGCTTGCGAAGAAACGTGGATGGAAGTTGTGATGATATATCTATAGTTTGAAAGTATATAGACATGTTCGTTTGGGAAAATGGAGTGAAACAATGCTATATCTGGTCTCTGGAATTCTTATAAGCTTGTTGATATCGTCATGTGCATTTGACTCATGCCGCGGTAGGGGTCGGTACGGCGGGCGGATCATACGCGACATGTTGTTATGCGAAACGCTAACTGAGTTCTGTATCGTCTCCCTGCGCAACCCAGAATCTCGTTTTGTACACTACATCTTTCATGTCTGTCAGCGACCTAAACTCAGTTGGATATACGTATATCTGAAATATACTGTCTGTGTTTACGTACGGCACGCTGGCTACGTGTGCGATTATAATCCCCCTGATCCGCAACATCTAGATACCCGCAGAACATACCCAATCTATCACTACACTCACTTTGGGGGGCGCGTATGAATCTCTCGTTTTGAGTTACTTTGCGCATCGCATATTTTTCTCAATAGTACGATTCCCAAGAGCACTACCGAACGACCGGCATGCACGGTTCGTTGGTCAAGCAACCTAAATTCGACCCTTCACTCACTATTCATTGAAGCCTTTAGCGAGAAAAGCTCCATTCCTGGTCCCAGTGACGGACGGAAGCGAGGGAGAGAAGGACACGGGTCAGACGCAACAGGATCAAAATCCTCTCATAACCCTCAAAAACAACGCACCATCAGGCCAAATCCTGTGGATGATCCTGCAGCACCAAACATGAGCTCAGCAACCATGTCTTTCGAGTCCAAGATTGCTCTCGCCTTGGGAGGATCGAGCTGGCAGCAGCTGCAGGACGACAGCAACACAGAACCCGTCATCGCAACCGAAGAGGACGAGGATTCCGATTTGGATGATGAAGACGAAGCCGATATCAAGCCTACAGAGGAGGTTGTGGTCGATCCAGTCAAAGCTAAGAAACAGCAGAAGAAAAAAGAGCGCTTCGACCAAAGTATTGCAAGAGATGCGGGTGAGATCCTAGAGACCATCGACAAGGATGAACTCATACCGGTAGCGGAACAGGTAGTATGGGACCGAGATCCGGAACTATTGTGTTGCTACAACTGGCAAGCTTCTGACGATGGCACGAATACTATCTTTGGTAAGTAGATTTCGACCTGTCATCAGGCAAATATCCGTCGAGACCTTGAGTGCGTAGAAACTCACGCATATCTAGTGCCGGGTGAGCCAGCAAAATGGCAACAACCACCCCTACCACACACGCTCAAACCAGATAGTGGCTTCACATATAGTGACTACAACTACGCTCGTCAGCCGAGGAATCCATACTTGCCAATGTTCCATGCGCTGAACCTCATGGCGCCAAACACCAATTTCCATGATGTCGATGTCCTCGCAGACCGAAACAATCTCCGTATCTTACTAGAATTCGCCCAAGGCAAATCAAACGGGCCTTTCCGGCTCAATATCTACCTTGTCTTCAACACGCTCGTCATCGTAAGGAATTCATTGTACACACTGGATGTGAGACATAGACTAACTTCGTCCGCGCACCTTTCAGGTACGCCGAGAATCACGATGGTGGAAACATGCAGATGGCAAGAGCTACGGCTTCAACTTCGAAAAGGATTTTACACGGACAACCGAAGGTATGGAAGATGCAACAAGTCACTACCGTGCGATACGTTACACAATGGGTCCCCTCAACGTCGTCTGTCGCTTCGAAGCAGATGCCTACGACGATGGCATCATCCCGGACGATCTCACCCAGACCGAAGCCGCAGCTGTACGTGGAGCAAACGAAGGAGGCCTTGCTGAACGCGGAAAATTTACATACAACGCCCCCATCCGCGTCCTGCAAAAAGGCCACATCGTCCCCACCTCCCAGATGCTAGAGCTCAAGACGCAAGCTTATAACCCAGAAGGAGCGGGTCTGGTCCAATGTCAAGACCAGCTCTGGTTCGGCCGCACGAGTTTACTTTTCACTGGACCCTATGATAAAGGGCTTGGAACAGTGAATCGAGTTAAGAAAGAAGACGCGACAGATAGAGTGAAGATATGGGAATCGAAACAACAGGAGTCGTTGAGAAAACTCGTCGCTCTGCTTGTTCGCTTCAGGGATGTGTTGAAGCGGGAGCGGAGACCGAACCGCGCTCTGGTGCTTGTGAGAGAGGGAAAGAGCGGGCCGATTGTACTGCGTGCGATGGAGGAGAGAAGTGCGGGTGTGGATAGAGAAATGCGGGAGAAGTTCTGGCCGCTGCCCACGCATGGAAATCGTGGAAGAGGTGGGGGTAGGGGTGCGTTCAACGGAGGTCATCGTGGTCGTGGTGGGCAATTCGTACCTGCTCAAGGCCGAGGTGACTTTGCGCCTTCATATGGTCGTGGCCAGTTTATGCCTGCTCATAATCAGGGTGGCTTTGGTCCTTCGCGCGGTCGCGGACAGTTCGTACCGCCAGCTCAAGGTCGAGGTGACTCTGCGCCTTCGCGTGGTCGGGGTCGCGGCCAGCACGACGCGAATGCCTCGTATGTACCACGCGGCCGAGGCGGTCGTGGAGGAAGAGGAACTTCAGACGCGCACTCGCGGAAGTGAAACTAGGGTAATCCATAGACAAGACTGCAGAGTACGACAAGTCGATACTCGGATCATAAAGAAACTCGCAGCATAGTCATCACGATCATCAGAGTCAGCGTTCACAGCAATAGAATATCTGTTGAAAATAAATTCTTGTATTATTCAGGCATAACAGGTGAGCAGCTATGTGCTTGCAGTAAAGGTATCACAAGGATAGACAAGAAACCTAGAACGCCTGATCCCATCGTATACACGTAACCAAGCGTGGACATGATCGTGACAAGCTAATAGAAACGCCTTGAGGTAATCCAAACGCCAATTGGGTAGTCCAAAGTAGACAGAAAGAGAAGAAGAATAAAGCATAAGCAAGGAACATGGCTTATGACGCTGCAACAGGTACCTCACATGACTGTGATGTGATCTCGACAGCGGCCTCTACAGCAGGTACGTCAACAGCAGCAGGCGCAGCAACGATGCCCTTAGATACTGATGGTGTTGTTGTCTCTTCCTCAACTGCAGCGGGTACCTCATCAACAACGACGTGCTTCTTCTTCTTCTTCTCTGGTGTCACACTGCTAGCATCAAACTCCTTGGACAACCCTGACGGCTTCTCAATTCCCGCGTCAACGGTAACGTAACTTGTGGCGTCACAGCCCTCAGCGTAGAACTCGCTCGGCGCAAGATCACCGAGCGGCTTCCTGTCCTCATCCATAGCATCCTGGACAACCTTGCGCGTGCGACGAGGATGTTTAGCAGGTGCTTGGACCAGGATATCAGTCTCATAGCCGTCGTCCAAGGAAGAAGCATGGTTGCGCTTGCGGGTGTTTGCAGCAGCGAGGAAGTCTGGAGGCGGGACGTTCTCCTTGCCGCGGTCCTCGTTGCGGAACTTGGTTGCTGCGTCGTCGTCGGATGAGATGTCTAGGACGGATGCCGAGTGTTCCATGAGGTTTGCGGCTTCTTGCTCGGGCGTGTCTTCGTGGATGTCGAAGAACCAGCTCTTGGGCATATTGTCATCGAGGACAGGGGCTGCCTGGGCGGCTGGTGCTGAGGCGGGAGTGGCGGCTACAGTAGGGGCCTTGGGTGTGTAGGTGGAGATGGAGCCGCTGAGGGCTGCGTCGATGGAGAAGGGTAGGCTGGGGCTGCTCAGGTTGAAGGAGGGTGGGTCGACGCGTCGGAAGGGCGAGCTGGATGCGCGACGCTTGGAAATGGCATGGAGACGCTTGTTCTTGGGTGAGCCGCGGCTGTTGGTGATGGGCGTTGACTTGGCGGTGCTGGGTGACGAGAGGGCTTTGCGCACAGACGGGACGGAAGGCGTGGCATTGAGGCTGGCACTGCTGGGCTTGACGGGCGAAGTGAAGATTGAGAAGCTAGCGGGCTTGACGTATCCCGCGTCGATGCTGTTGTTGGCCGTCCTCGACTTCTTGGTCGGGCTGCTGAAGACGGAAGGGTCCACGTTCTCGGAGTCGGCATCTTCGTAGATCTCGGGTGCGCGTTGGCGCTTACCCGTCGATGGCGTGGGGATTGACTTCAGACCCTGCGGCGACGTGAAATTTGGCGAGATAGCTGTCGCATACGCGTTTAGTGAATGCAGTGGCACGTGAATTGGAGCGCCTTACCATTTTGCCTGTTCTTCGCGCTCTGGAGTACCTGGAGCCGCGACGAGCCGATCTCGCCGAAGGGCTGGCGCGTAGAGGTGGCCATGGTAAAGACTGTCGAAAATGTCGCGATAGCGATTGATATGAGTACAGGTAGATATATCGGCCCGAAAGCGCAATTGATGTGACTGAGGACTCGCGGTGGTGGTGTTGAAGGTGATTGTCGTTGGGACGGAAGGTGCGAAAGGTGGGGTGGTTTGGTTATCGTATCTCTTTCGCGACTAGGTCGGTTCAAGGCGGCCAGACCAAAACAACAAGAACAACAATGATGGACTCTTCGTCTCTCACAGTGATTAGAGAATGTCTGGGTCAACGACAGAGAACCTGAACACACAGAGTCAAGCCTGGAGAAGAAGAGTAAGAGAGATGGATGTGCAGCTGGGTCACGAAGCTATTAGACCAGCACTCAAACGCGTCCCCAGTCTCCCTCGTACTTTAGCGTGTCCATCACGCACTTAGGGGCCGCCTCCCACAATCGCGTCCGTCTTCTCCACTCAGGCCAGGATCATGTCCCGAAACTATGACGGAAAACTGGTTTTAACCCTCCTAGCCACTTTATGCAATACCCTCCATTGGCTACGACTCTCCGGATCCACCTGCAGTGTCACTTGCGCCACCAAAACGCGACTCGGCGCGCTCGCGATATAGACGTGAACGACGTGAACGGTGCTTCGTTCTCTGCGCGTACATCCCAGGCCTTGCAGCTTACAGTGTGCTGAGGCAGTAGTACGTGCAGTAGAGGCGCCTGTTCGAGGCTTCTCGTATGTTGCTCTGAGGCTGCCAATTGTCACAGGTATGTCATAGACTTATATAGGTGGTTGGCGACCTTGTGAAGTTTGGACCATCTGCTGGTCCTTCGAGTATCGCGCTGCTTGCCGTTGGTGTTTCGACGCGCATATATGTACGCGGGCTCCCATTGCAGAACGCGATGAGGCAGGATGCACGCGAGTTTGCTGCATCACGCTCGCAGGGCTGAGTTTCGTTGGTTCGCCATGCTGACTGCTGATGTGCATGTTAATTGCTGTGCAGCCCTGCCTTAGTAGACACCGTCATCTTGAGCTGAATATTTTGTATGATTTAGTAATTTTATGCGCTCTAGGAACTGACTCGACATGTCAATTCGTCTTCCCATTGCCCCACTTGCTTTTTTTCCTTCGCGGTTGCCCTGTCGCGCCATCCTTACACCCAGCCCGTCGCGGCACTACTCTGCCTCGGGCTCCTGCTCCCCGCGCGACTCCCAACCCTCACCGGAACACCATTCCAACTATCGTTTAGATATGTCGCGTTGTCCTCATCATATCCATTCGCGTATTTCCCCACATCTTGATCGGCACCACCCCATTGGCCTCCGCTGTCGTCATCAACACGAGCCTTCTGACTACTCCAGCTCTGTTCGCTGACGGCATGGCTACCAGGCCAAATGGCTGCATCGTCAGGTCGTTGGGAGTGTCGACTCAGATGGCTAGTCTGACTTCCGCCCGCCCAGCCTGCTTGACCGTCTTCCCAGCCTGTAGGGTGTACGTGCTTGCTGCTCCTATGACTTCTACGGGTATCATGGCTACCGTGACTTCGACGAGCAGACTGTATACTTGATACTTGGCTTTGACGACCCAGAGACGCCCGCTCACTCCCTGTACCTACGACACCGACCTCACTGGTTGATTTGTTTCTCTCAAGACCATCCCATGTAGTATCGCCCAAGGGAAGTGTAGGACTGCCAAAATGTACAGACGTAGGACTGTTGGCGATTTGCTGAAAAGTAGGAGACTCGACACCGGTCCAACTAGCATTGTCAGTGGCTTTGGGTCTCTTGCTCCAGCTTCGTTCGCTTGAAGACTTGCTACCCGCACCTGCCCAGGTATGTGGGTGAGGCGTGTTTGCAGACAACATCGACGCAGGTTCTCTGCCTTCTTTCTTACTACTAGAACTCTCCTCATTGTTATTTTGGTTACGACCCCAACCTTGAGTTTCAGTGCTCTTCACACTGCCGCCCCATCCAGTCGCAATATAGTCCTCCTCTCCTGACGCATCTTCGACTGTAGGCGCTTTGTACGTTGCATGACTCTTCCCTGAAGCACTGTCCGAGTCATTCTTTGATTTTGGCGACTTGTTGCTAGTATGAGTCGATCTGTGGCTCTTGCATGAGTGACTTGGACTGGCGACTTTCCATGCACTCTCAAACTGTCCACCATCCCAAGATACCTCTGACAATACCTTAGTGTCTCCTTTAACTGGCAATATGTCAGGAGACGGCCGTCTAGCGGGTGGCGAACGCATAGACGACGCTTTCTTCTCAATCCAGGAGTTCGACACCGGAATGATGTCTTTGTAACCTTGTGAGCGTGGTCTGACATATCTGAATCCCTCACTGATGGCCTTGGTTGGAGATCCTGGCACAATGTATTCGTACGCGTCGCTCATGGATACAGCTGTATGAGCTACAGATGAAGCTCTGCTAGAGGGCCAACCGCTCGCTCCACCTGTCATCATGAAACCTGTCGGCGAACCCATGTCTTCGCCATCAGAGTGCAGGTAGCCTTCTTCGTATTCTGATTCGGAGATGGATGTAAGTGTCTTGGATGATGAGAGATGTGAGCGACGAGACTTATTGTTTTTGACATTCTTCTCACTGCCACTCTTTTGTTTCTGCTTCTCTTTCGAACGTTCTTTTGTCTGACGGGAAGACGTGCGATGCATCGGTGTAGAATGAGGAACCGGACCTCTGGCCAGAGAGGCTGACTCGACGGTAGATGCTGCTTTGACCCAATGTTTTGGTTGCTCACTGAGAGCCTTCTGTGGTCCGGAGTCAAACTCACCATCCTTGTCTACAACGATAACGCGACCATCATCTGCTTTGATGACGAAGGTTCCCCATTGGGGTGGCATAGGGACAGTCACAGTGTCCTTCTTCACCTTCTCTTGATCCCCAGGTTTCTTGTCCTGACAGCCATCACGATCCGTCCGCTTAACTTCCAGTCCGCCCAATTCCCTTATTTTCTCCAAGTTCCGTTGTATATCTCCGCTGATCGCCTTTTGCACGTCATCACTCCACACTGTCTGCACACCATCTCTGGGTTCTTTTCGTTTCTTCTGCTTGTAGAATCGTGTGTCGATTGGACCAAAGCCTGGTGCTACTCCAGGAGGGAGTTGCATGTCCGCGCCGTCATCGACAAAACTGCCCGTGTAGGCTGAGGCCTCTGATTTGCTGCTAGCGATCCAACGCGCAACGTGGCGCTGATCGAGACCGCGAGGTATGCGCTTGGTGAAGGATCCGCCATCGTCGACAAAGGATTGGGGCGTTATGGAACTCATGCTCGCACTATGGTCATTTAATTGCAGTCCACCAGATTGACGTACAAGAGGCTCGTGGAAATATGTTTTACAGAGAGAAGATCGGTTCCGGCCTGCTGATTTGCGAGCGGCGGGGCGAATGAAGAAACGTCGGTGTGGTGTGGTGGATTTTGAACGCATTGCAGCGACAGTGGAGCAGAAGTGAAGGTAGACAACTTTTCGACTGCATAGCAGAACGACGAGAGCAAAACAATATGCAGACCGGCGAGACATGATTAAAAGACATGAAATAAACACACAAACTGAGGAATTTGAAAGCATTTACCGTGACACAGCACCTGTGCCGCCAATTGCTAAGATATCTATGCGCACATCCAACAAACACCAACACACATTAGCACCGACACTCCTTCTGTCTTCAGCGCACAGCCAACAGAGTCAACAAATCAAATCAAGTCCTACAGTTTCGCCTTCTCCCGCTTCTTCTGTTCTTCCCATTGTAATTGCACGTTCCGCATCTTGTACCAGCTCAACATACCAGCCAGCGCACCAAACAACGGGTTCACCCAAAGCAGGAAACTCCACCACCGCGGACTATTGCTTCTAACATCCTGCATGACTCTCTGTATCTCTTTCTCAAGATAGCTCCTGTCGTGATCATTCCAGACCACGACGCCGTTGCCCGGGCCTCTCCGCAAACAGCGCTCCGCTTTCTCGCGCACGTCGCCTTGACTCATAACGCGGTTCCGCGCATCTTCTTCGGTAAGATGCGAATCACGATCGCGTAGGCGTTGTATCTGAATTGCGGGATCCGACACGCCAACAACGAGGATAGTGCCACAGTAGCGTTCCCAGCCGCTCTCAAAAAGGAGAGGGACGTCTAGCACGACCGCCCAGTTGCCGCGCAGGTATGCCCATACCATTTGTCTATACATCTCCTTTCGTACTGCAGGATGTACAATGCTATTCAGCTTTTTTCGGTCGCGCTCCTTCTCTTCTCCACTGCCAAAGACTCTCCGTCCTAGTGCTGGTCGGTTCAGCGGGCGTCCTTTGGGCGTCGCATCGGGAAGAAGCAGATCCGGTGTGGTAGGTAGGAAGTGCTCGACGATGGCGTTGTAGCCTGCAGTGCCGGGTTCAACGACTTGCCGCGCGATGAGGTCAGCGTCTACGATCGGAAGAGAATAGGGCGGCTTGGAGAGGATGGACGAGACGGTCGATTTGCCCGTCGCGATGGAGCCTGTGAGGCCGAGGAGGAGCATGGCAGATTGCTTCGACTGAAGCTGGCGTGTCAATAGAGAGGGTCAGATGTTGATCGATGCAAGCCCAGGTTCTGCGTCTGAGCTGGTGATGTTGATTTCACATGGCGGGTGCATGAGAGATGGGATGACGATTGCGGGGAGCTGGGAGCTCGTACCTCGGAGGTGAGCATGGGCCCCTTGTCCCTCGCCCGCTCAACAGCACTACGAAGCCTTCATCTTCACTAATATCAGCGATGGTGGAATGAGGTAGATATGTTTTGATTCATGTGTTTACGCGACTAGAATCGCAAAAAACCGACAAAGGATATCACCAAGCCGTTGCGCCCAACACCATTCTTGTTTTCTTCCTTACTATGGAGAAGAAGGCGGAGTAGCGGGCAAATACAAAGTCCTCTCACTCTCATCAGAATTAGCAGCGATCTCTTGCTCTGGCTTTGCTTCCTCCTCTTCGGGTATAGAACTTTCAGGTACAGAACTCAGAGGCGACGAAGATGGCTCCCAAGCATCGAAAACCGGTACAATCGGTACGGGAACCGCTACCTTACCCTACAAGTGCCCTCATGTTAGCCATCTCAAAAGGAAGACACACGATGGATGGAGCTCAGTCTGAGACATCTCCGTGGTTTACAGTCTTCTTGATTGGCTCAACGAGTTTGCGCGCGGGACGGAAGATTTGCAGCTGGTTGTCCTCTGCAGCGCCCATCATGAGCCATGGATCGTTCTTGTTCCAGTCAAAGTCGCAGATTCGGTTCGTGAAGCCACCGTGCATGAACAGTCTGTTGCATGTTAGTACGTGAGCTGACAATAGGTTCGCGATAACTTACAGTTCAGGGGGGCCATCTTCTGCTTCCTCAGCCGTCTGTTCAGAACCGATCTTGCTGAGATCCCACAGGCAAATACGGCGATCGTAACTGGAACTGGCAAGAATGGCAGCATCTTGCGGGTGCCATTGCAGACCAATGACATCTGAGGCGTGATTTTGCAGGCTGTGAAGCTTCTTGTCAAAATTCCTCATATCCCAGATTCCGACTGATTTGTCTGCCGAGCCTGTCGCGAAAGTCCCTTCAAACTCGGGATGGAACGAGATGCAGTTGACTGCGTCGTCGTGGGCCTCCTTCCTGTACAGTGCCTTCTTGTGTGTTTCCATACGAGTATCGATGATTTGCCAAGTAAGATCGTCGGACGCGGTACCAATGAGGAAGTTGTGGATCGGGTGGTATTGAACATCGTTGACGGTTGCACTGTGAACGTTGTATGTCGCCGTTGGACTGATGGTCTTGTTGCTCTTGGAGAAGCCACTCTTGATGTCCCAAGTCTTCACTGTGGTATCCTCGTTACCCGTCACCAAGTGTCCCTCTTTCAGAGGACTCCAGCTCAAGCCAAATCCCTCCTTGCTATGGCCTACAAGCTCGGCCTCGAACTTGATCGAATCGTCCTTTGGTTGCAGCGGGTGCTTGGTCCGGTCGAAGATGAGCACCTTGCCGTCTACACACAGCGATGCTATGATGTCGGGGTTCTGAGGCTGGTAGCGCGCCTTGTTGACCTCGCCAGGGTGGTTGATCTTCTGCACAATCTTGAAGTCAAAGGGTCGCTTCGCATTGCCGTGGCCGCCGATTTCTCCGCGCTCTTCGTTAAGCTCTGACAAGTCTGGAACCCGGAAGTCGGGTATCTCGCAGTGGGCGATTTGTAGGTAGTTTTGGGCTTGGTTCGACGTGTGGGTTCCAAGAATGACGCGGTGCTGGCTCATGTTGGTGCCTTCTACAGGCTTCTTGTCGGGAAGCCATTGTGTAGTGAGCGTAGGCCACTCGAGCGCGCGGCCGTACAGCATATCGTATAAAAAGACGCTGTTCTTCTTCCATATCTTGTACTCTTCGTTGATGAGCTTCTGCTCCAACTGCTCTTGGTCGTCCATCTCGTGGGAATCGTGAGCGTCTGTCGCGATAGTGTTAGAACCAAGTCTCTGAGGGGTTCAAAAGTGTCGGGGCTTGAGCGACTGCGCATGTATGGTAGTGAGCTGGTACGCCATGTGCCAACTGTGTCGGTGTGGTATACGAAGTTCGCTCGCCTTCAGTCTACATGGCAATGTCGCAAAACAAACCCGCAACAGGTGAACAGACTTACCACTCATAGTCTCGTCCATGGTGAGGGTGAATGTATGCTGATAGTCAAGGGCGTGGTGGGATATATGCGATCTTGAAGTGTGATGCGCAGAAGCTACGGCGCACGACGCGCTCCCAAAGTTCGCGTTTGGACCAACCCCGATGTCGATCCATTAGCGCCCCACTTGCTTGGCAGTCGCCGCCCGTATATCCATTGCGTCTATGATCAAGACTCCGACTCTTTGAAGACCCCAGCGTCGAGAACCAACACCCTATACTCTCTCTCGCCCTCTCGCCCCAGCGCCTTTGCGCGCCTCTCTCACTGCCATCTTCTCCCCTTGTCGCCCACTATATATTGCGACTCTCAGCCCCGCCACTTGTACACAATCCACAACCTATCCTCAGCCATTCCTAGACAGGAGCAGCAGCCATGGGTGTCCCAAAGTTCTTTCGATGGATGTCCGAAAGGTATCCGGGTATTTCGCAGCTCATTGCTGAGAACCGTATTCCCGAATTCGACTGTCTCTACGTAAGTGCTCTTGTGTCGCATTCGATGCGCACAGTTAGTTAACAGTCACAGCTTGACATGAACGGCATCATCCATAACTGCACCCACAACGATTCCGACAGCGTCACGGCGCGCAAGTCCGAAGATCAGATGTTCATCTCCATCTTCAACTACATCGAGCATTTGTTTGGCAAAATTAAACCCAAACAGCTCTTCTTCATGGCCATTGATGGTGTCGCCCCGCGCGCCAAGATGAACCAGCAGCGTGCGCGACGTTTCCGAACCGCTCTCGATACTGAAAAGGCTCGGGAGAAGGCTATCCGCGAAGGCGTAGAGATGCCGACCGAGGAAGCGTTCGACAGCAACTGCATTACGCCAGGTACTGCTTTCATGGCGAAGCTCACGCAGCAGCTCAAGTACTTCATCAACAAGAAGGTCTCCGAGGACATAGACTGGCAGGGCGTGGAAGTCGTGCTGTCTGGTCACGAGGTCCCCGGAGAGGGAGAGCACAAGGTCATGGAGTACATCCGTCAGGCCAAGGCACAGCCGGGGTACGACCCGAACCGCCGCCACTGCCTGTACGGTCTCGATGCCGACCTCATCATGTTGGGTTTGCTCAGCCACGACCCCCACTTCAGCTTGCTGCGTGAAGAGGTGACGTTTGGCCGCCAGAGCCAAACCAAGTCCAAGGAGTTGGAACACCAAAACTTTTACCTAATGCACCTTAGCATTGTTCGAGAATACCTGGAACTCGAGTTCCAGGAACTGGAAGAGCCCGGTGCTCTTAGCTTCCCATTCGACATGGAGCGTGTCATTGACGATTTCATTCTCATGGCTTTCTTTGTTGGTAACGATTTCCTTCCTAATCTTCCACATTTGCATATCAATGAGGGCGCCTTGGCCCTCATGTTCAACGTCTACAAGACTGTCCTACCCAAGGGTAAAGGATACATCAACGAGGGTGGTGTCATCAACATGGAGCGCCTGGCTATCTTGTTGGATGAACTCTCAAACATCGAATACCGTCACTTCGAATCGGAGAATGCCGATGCTGCTTGGTTCAAGGGTAAGAAACTTGGAAAGGAGGATGTAATGGCCAAAACGGCGAAACGAGGCACGGTTGTCATGACCACGCAGCAGAAGGAACTGTTCTCCAAGGTCAAGAGCTGGCTGGGTAATTACATGGAAAAGAAAGACCAAGCTCCGTTGGACCTTCCGGTATCTCTCAACGCGGAGGATCGAAAATTCGTTCAAGAACTTGCCGACAAGTTACATCTCCCTTGGAAGACTGTCCAAAATGACGACGGCGACCGTCACATTCAGGTTACACCTCCACCTAAGCTAGTTGAAGGCGACTCGGATGAGGAGGATGAGATGGATGACGAATCTACGAAAGCGATTGTACGCGTTGTACAAAAGTACGAACAGGCGAAGATCGTTGACATCTCGCCTGAGGACGCCCAATCGGAGATGCAGAAGAAATACGACGAGAAGTTTGACGCGTGGAAGAATGACTACTACAAGAGCAAGTTCGACTGGGATCGCAGCAACGAGGAAGAGCTTCGCAAACTGACGGAGAACTACGTCCAAGGATTGCAGTGGGTTCTCTTTTACTACTACCGTGGAGTCGCGTCGTGGCCATGGTACTATGGCTACCACTACTCGCCTATGATTTCCGACGTCAAGCGAGGTCTGAAGGCGGACATCAACTTCAGACTTGGACAGCCGTTTAAGCCCTTCCAGCAACTGATGGGTGTCCTGCCTGATCGCAGTAAGAGCATCGTACCAAAAGCCTACCATCCCCTCATGACCAATGAGGATTCGCCGATCATCGACTTCTATCCTCGAGACTTCACTCTCGACATGAACGGAAAGAAGCAGGACTGGGAGGCTGTCGTCAAGATTCCATTCATCCAGGAAGATCGTCTGCTTAAGGCCATGGCAACCAAGGAGAACGATCTGACACCGGACGAGAAGCAGCGTAATTCATTTGGCGTTTCGTTGAAGTTCACTTACGCTAAAGATTTGGATTTTGTCTACCAGTCATCTCTGCCAGGTGTATTCCCGGATCTTCCTCACTGCAAATGTATCGAGAACATATTCGACCTACCGACTATGGACGGACTAGAATACTACATTGGCCTCATGGACGGCGTCAAACTGGGTGCCTCAGCTCTGGCCGGCTTCCCCAGCTTGAAGACTCTGCCGTTCCATGGCAAGCTTGAGTTTGCGGGTGTCAATGTTTTCCAACAAGACAGCCGTAACGAGAGCATGGTCATTACACTACTAGATACGGAGCCACGACAGTCTGTCGGGCACGCACAAGCAAAACTCGGCAAGGCCGTTCATGTTGGCTACCCGTTCCTACATGAAGCAAAGGTAATAAAAGTATCGGATGAGCTGTTCGACTACGTTCTGCCAGAGAGCGGCGATTCTCCTGCGCCCGTTGCTATTCCCCATGGACCACAAGAGATTTCCAACTGGAAGAAGACTGCGAACCGCATCGAAAGCCAGTACAGCAAGCGTCTTGGCATCAATGTCGGAGAGATTGAGTCACTCGTGCACGTAGAAATGCTCAAGGGACTCAAGAAGACCGACGAAGGCGCTACCATCAAGGAATACGGCGAGGTCGCTGGACTACAAGTGGAGTATGCAACACAAATAGTTGTGGATGAGGTTATCAGCGCAGATGCTCGCTTTATAGAGAAAGAGGCGCTTCCTATTGAAGAAGAGTTCCCCGAGGGAGCCCGAGCATTCTACCTTGGAGACTACGCGTATGGCCGTCCCTTACAAGTCATGGGCCACGCCGACAATAAGGCCACGATCATGGTCGCGAAGCTAAAGAAGCAAGAGCCAGCTTTTGGACGCGAAGTCGTCATCATGGCAGAAAGGTCCATGCCGTATCTTCCATCCTACCAGGTGGCGAGGCATCTGAATATGCCGCCGCTTGCGTTGTCTAAGCTCACGTCGTCATTCAATGTCAACTCAAGCGGTCTTAAACTCAATCTCGGTCTGAACCTCAAGTTTGAAGCGAAGAAGCTCAAGGTATTGGGCTACTCTCGCAAGTCAGCCAACGGATGGGAGTATAGCGAGAAGGCCATAAACCTCTTGCAACAGTATATGACCAAGTTCCCGGAGTTTATCGCCGCCATTATCATGAACCCGACGGGTGACGGCTGGGAAGACACGGACTTTTATCCTCCCGAAGTTGCGAAGCAGAAGGTCAAGGAGATTGGAGCCTGGCTCAAGAGTGTTCAGACGAAGAACTTTGAGAAGGTACCCTTGGACGCTGAGCAGCTCGACTCGGATACAGTCAAGCTCATCGAGGCAGCCGCTGATGCCAACTTTCCCCTCACCCAAGAAGTTGAGCCCAAGACGGTTACAAAGGTGCCCCGTGTCGCTCTGCTGAAGCCTTCTGATGCAGAACAACGATTGGGACACCAGCACTTCAGCATTGGCGATCGCATTGTCTATGTTCAAGACTCTGGAAGGGTCCCAATCGGATCATCAGGTACTGTGGTTGGCAAAACCCGCACTGCGCGTGTTCTGTTGCTCGATGTTGTATTCGACGCTACCTTTATGAGCGGTACTTCTCTCGGCGACCGTTGTTCTCCGTTCAGAGGATCAACTGTACCGGCTACTGCAGTTGTGAACATGACGGATCAGCAGGTCGTGCATTATTCTAGTGCTGCTGCCGCCAGGCGTCCACAACAAGCGCCTACTTCGTACAACATGCCCCGCTTCGGTGCTCCTGGAGGCCCTGGGCTAGTTCCAGCAGGTACGCCACCACCCCTCCGTGGCTCATACCGAGGAGCTTTCGGAGGCGCGAACGGACGTGGCGGAGGCATGGCACCACGTCAAAGCTCTGGACCGCAGCAAGGACAGCAGCAGACACTGCCAATCCATGGCGGACCACCTCGTGGTGGTCGTGGCGGCCGGGGCGGAACCGCTCCCCGTGTTGGACAAGTCAACGGCCAAGCCTCTCAAGACCAGAACCAGGCTCCCAATGGCACAAACACTCGCGGTAACCTGCGAGGTGGCTCTGCTGATTTCGTCCCGCGTGGACGAGGAGGAGGCTACAAGGGCCGGGGAGGCTTCACCGTCATCGACAACACTGATCCCGCTGAAGGAGTTGTGCCCAACAACCCAAATTTCCAGCCGCGAAACTACTCGAACGTACCACCGCCGGCAAATCTTGATGGTGGACGAGGTGGTAGAGGACGAGGCCGTGGTCGTGGCGGTTTCCGTGGACGTGGAGGACCAAGGGGCGGCGCACCACCTGCTGCCCAGTAGACTCCTCTTCATAGTACATCTGAACTTCGATTCGGGGTTGTTTGAGCGTTTCACAAAGCATGCTAGCGTGGCGTCACGGCGTTCAGCTCGAACATAACATGGGAAATGCATAGATGATACCCGTAGATGATAGGATCAGATAGAGGGCAAGATGATATGGGAGAAGACGGTGTAGGATAGCTTGTGCGCAGGTTGATACCCATATCACATTATCTGTAGCAATCGCAAATGAACCATTATGTATACCCGACATTTGTGGTGAAGTCCAGTCGTCCGAGGTCAGATGCTAACCGTGGAGATGATGGACTAGCGTGGAATGGGTGAACCCTGGTTTCATAGGGCTGAGCTCCGACCTCCGCGCGACAGGCCAGATACGTGTTAGGACCCAGCGAAAGCTAAACGCTCACGCCCACTCCCAACGAGCCTCTCTTCCTCTCATAGCCGACAAACGTTCAAAGATAGAGCGCCGCGCTCATCTTCTACCTCTACGATGCACTCGACACTTGTGCGTCTACAGAATGTCTTTGGCTTCTTCACCACGGTCGCTTTCACAGTCGCGAGCGTCATTGCACTGAGTAGCTTCATCTCCCCACAGAACCCGTCAGCCAGCATATCGCTGCAGAATGTACAATTGGTAATGGGGCGGCCGCATTACTACTCACCCAAGAGGGAGGAATACGCGCATATCAAGTTCGACCTCAACGCTGGTACGTCTCCTACACAAATCACAACCATGCTACGGGTATACAAATGCAACAGCAGAACTAACACTCGCATGCACAGATCTCAGCTCGCTCTTCAACTGGAACACTAAGCAAGTCTTCGTCTACCTCAAAGCCGTCTACCCCTCAACACGCGCCTCAGAACCGCCGTCCGAAGCCATCATCTGGGATGCCATCCTCGCTTCCAAGTCAGCGCCCTGGCACACGGGCTACTTTGTTCACCCCGACAAGAAGTCGAAGCTGCCTAAGCAATCCGCCAAGAAGCGCGCCGCGTCCAAATCAAAGACGACGTCGCCCTATCCCATCGGCGAACTGCACCTCGAGAACAACAAGCCCAAATACAAGATCACCGATATAACTGGCAAGCTGGGCAATAGGACGGATGTCACATTGGAGCTAGGATGGAATGTGCAGCCATGGGTCGGCGCATTGACCTGGACCAACTGGAACACGGTTGGTGCATGGCGCGGTTTGGAGGGAGGCAGGAGTAAGGCGTTTACTTTCCCCGAGGTTGGTGCCAAGGCGGCAAAGCCCAAGGATTTGGAGACTGAGAAGGGTGCCGAGGGTTACAGATTGGTGGTTGGTGAGGAAGTCCCGCTGAAGAAGGCTGTCGTTTAGAAACGGCATTTGGGCAATCTATGCGCCGAGGGGACAGGGTCCCAGGAGATGGTTATATTTGATACCAATAGGCATGCGTTTTTGTTGGTTTGCCTCATATTGATCATACAGAGCAATCAATACGATTTCAAGTACAAACAACTAGTCTGCCCTAAGTAGAAGTGTTGGTACATGCTCGGGTCAAGGTCGGACCTCCGATCTCGCCGCAAACCGCCACTTTCTGGTTGTCGGATTTCAAAGCGCGCTCCACAACCCTCAATCACCTCACACTATGCGCCATCCGCGGTACCACCTACACCACTCCTCCTCTCGCCCATCCGATCACGCTCCAGACTAACACCAAACCTCTGCGAGTAAAGTCCTTTATTCATCACTGCCATACGAAGTGCATCCCATCGACCTGCGCTGACGCAACCCCCACCAACTCTCCGACTGCTCGCGCCAACCCTGGCACGTCAAATCCCCCAATCTCGCCATGCCTCTTGACAACATACGGAACATCCTTCTCGTGCTCTCCGGCAAAGGCGGAGTCGGAAAATCAAGCGTCACTACCCAGCTCGCCCTTACCCTATCGTTACAAGGACATTCGGTCGGTGTTTTGGATATAGACTTGACAGGCCCGAGTATACCGCGCTTTTTTGGTATCGAGAATGAAAAAGTAAGGCAAGCGCCTGGTGGCTGGATACCGGTGGATGTACACGGTGAGCAGACATTGGCTACGCATAAGAGAGTGGGCGAAGAGGATGGAAGCACAACGGAGCAAACAGAAGGAGGAGAGGCGGCTGCAGATGGCCAAAAGATTGGATCTTTATCCTGCATGTCACTAGGCTTCATCTTGGCCTCGCGCTCCGATGCTGTAATCTGGCGCGGCCCTAAGAAGACAGCCATGGTTCGCCAGTTCCTCACCGACGTCCTATGGCCACCGCTCGATTACCTCCTCATCGACACGCCGCCCGGTACCTCCGACGAACACATCTCTCTGCTCGAAACACTGTTGAAGAACACCACACCCTCTCCCGCTCTCAACCCGTATCTCCCCTTCCTGGCCGGCGCCGTCGTGGTCACGACCCCACAAGCCATCAGCGTCAGCGACGTCAAGAAGGAACTCAACTTCTGCAAGAAGACCGGCATCAGAGTCCTTGGCGTAGTAGAAAACATGGCCGGCTTCATCTGCCCAAACTGTTCGGAATGCACAAACGTTTTCAGCAAGGGCGGCGGAGCCGTCATGGCAACAGAGTTCGAAGTCCCTTTCTTGGGTTCTGTACCGATTGACCCGGCGTTTGTGGAATTGGTCGAGAGCGGGACAAGGCCGGTGTATCCCAAGGGTACGGTGTTGCAAGGGAAGGAGATGGATACTGAAGAAGTTGCGGCTTTGAAGAGTAAGGATGGCCTTTTTGTGGACAAGTATCGGGATTGTTCGTTGGCGCCACTTTTTGAGGAATTTGTGACGAGGTTGAAGGGAGATATTGGGAGGATTCAGTGAGGAGGTGAAGAGTTGATATGTAAAGATGAAGATGACGAAGAGATGAAATAGATACCATTCAAGACGTAGAGAGGAATAGATACCCGGCCAAACATCGCTGATTATGTAGGGTCGGTAAGTCTTTGACTCTACTGGAGAGTATAAGGTATGCTGACTCTCCCAGATCTCGCCGTCCATCTTGTTGTTGTCATTCCGTCTCGTGTGATTACATTGCTCCAAGGTGAACAAACGCACGCTGGTTTCGTCACAGCGATCTTGATTCGCTGTGTCTTGCTCACCAGTATTAGCGGTCTGTCGTCGTGACGGATGAGGCTCCACTCGCAATCGCAATTATCAGTCTTCTACTTGAGATCCCATTTCGTACTGGCGCCTCTGGCTTTTGGTCTGCAGATCAAACGTGCAGGTAGCAGTGTAGAGGTGAGAGAGCGCTTGATTAGCTTTTCAGGTAAAGGTGGGCGTAAACGATCACTGGCCAGCGAACCCTATATGAAGCCGCTACTACCCATACGGAAAGGTGACCTACAATCCTCTTTACTTGCAACACCAACTTTCGAGACTTGCAAACTGTCAAAGATCTCAGAGTCAGCGAGCGAGAGTCTATTGCGATACTGAAATTGCTGTTCTGTTACGGCTCTGCGTATAGACAAATAACTGCACCTCTACGAGACTGCGCCAAAATCCGACAGCATGGACATCGCGAGCGACAAAACCCCGCCAGATCCACGACTCACAATGGGCGATCTTCAGCAGCCTCCTCTAGATCCTTTTCGAGTACACGATCAGATGCAGACACCTGAGATTGAAGCACGTCAGAGTGATCAGCTCACTCCAGAACTCGAGGATAGCGCGGACCAAGAGTGCGATGCCAACGGAAACGGAATGCTGAGAGACAAGTTTCCTGGTTCTGCCACTACACCAGAAGAGGATCCAGGTTCTGAAGCAGAGTCTAGTGTAGACCAGAACGAGCAACTCGTGGTCAAGCTGAAGTACAGCACCAAGACAAAGACCACCAACACGTCCTCTTCACCAGACCACCAAAGGTCCGCTAATGGCACTTCAGTTTCCCAGAAGCTTGGCACAATTTCGAAAACCATTTCCGATTGCCTGAAACTTTGCCCAGAATGGGGAACCATTTCCAATCCTTCCAGCGGAAGTCCTATCGTCAAACAAGAGAGTGGACATCATCGATACACTGCATCCCCGGATTCGAAGACGACCGACCCACAGATCAAGATCGAGAAGGACGATGATCAAGCTTTGGTTCCGACCCCACTCAGTAAGCCTATGGAAGAGTCAGGTCAGGTCAAGGTCATCAAGGATGAGCTCGAACATGACGCACGTCAACAGATACATGATCCCCACCAAGGTTTTGCTCAAAATGATATGGATGTTGATGCTCATCCTGCAAACGGTACTATGCATGTTCCGGCCAACGACAACACCTTCAACAAGTCCTTGGATATCGCTGATACACAGGCCGCTGCACCAGAGCCTACGGCCGTCGACGAGCGTAGTGCTGATGACGTGGATGGTGAATATCAGCAGAGCGAGAGCGCATCACCAGAAGCTGCTCGTGGTGAAAATACCGTGTTTAACAACGACGAAAACACCTCTAATGGTACTGATTCACAGGAGTGGTCCCCAAGCGCTATCAACAAACAGCACAAAGGCCATCCAGCGATCGATCATCAACTTGTACCATCAGGCTTCACATCTGATGAGATGAACGTGCAGCAACAAGACCAGGTCAAGCAAATTCCGCATATCTTCGGTACTGGCCAACCTGATCTTGGCGTTCAGGATGTATGGAGTCAGCCTCACCCCAACTTTCCGGATCCGGTTCACCTCACTACTACGTCGTCTTCACCTCGTCATCAGGACTCACGTGTTTCGAACCCCAACATCACTTTGGAAGGTATCTCGCAGTTCCAAACAACGCAACCCCATCATGTCTCCCTACAGCCTTCTGATCAATGCAACCAACCCAACTTCGGTCTCAGCTTCAGTCGTCAGCAACAGCTTCAGGCACAGATCGAAAGGCAGAAGAAGCAGTTAGAGGACTTCAGGAAACAGAACGAAGAGTGGTCGCAACAGTCTCAACAGTCACTTCATGGGTTCGGCTATCCTCAGAGGCAATCGAACGCACCTCCATCGTTTATTACGGGCCCTCTGACTTACCAACGCGCACCTCAATTCAGCAGCCAGCAGGTTCCAAACGGACTCAGCAGTCCCGGATTCCCACAATCGGCTTCAACTACAGTCCCCTATAGTCAAATGCCACTGAACATGTCTTATTGCCTCAATCCAGCATCACTATACAAGAGTACGACAAAGATCTCAGCGCCTCCTAGCTTGAACACCCGGGTACTAGGGCCGTATGCTCCCCAGGGCCCTAAAGAGACGCCGAAGAAGATTCCGGATGAGAACCACTCTAGCGACGAAGGCGATGCTTCCGATGACGATGAGCCTCTTCAAAGCCGAGTGAAGCGTCACCCATCGGTCACTAGCAGCCGTGATTCTGTCATTGGTATGTCACCTCTACTTACAGCGTCCAACGGGATTGCACGACATCCACGACAGAATAATGACTCTGATGTTGAGTTCGTCACAAGCACGTCTAAGCCAAAAGATGCTACACTCAAGGCCAATCAGAACCAAGTACATAAGTCACAACCTGCCTCCGTTCCCACCAAGAACGCTTCACCTTCCTCGGAAAGCGCCGAAGAAATTGACTGGACCCTTCCTCAATACGAAGTCCAACGCCAACCCCTCGCGAAGGGCGAAGACATCCCCAGCGCCAAAGTTTCCCTACCCGGCCTGGTCCGTGAAGAGATCCTCTTATCCCCAGACCACGCGGACGAAGAAGTCCATCTCCTGATGAACATCTTCATACCGAACCAGCGCGCCCTTCCTAACCCCGATCCCGAACCTGCAATCGCCCTCCTCAACTTCCACACCATTGCCGTCATGGTGATAGAAGCGTACGTGCAATACGAAATCGGCGACGAGTTTGGCACGGGACGCGGACACTTCCATACTGAGCACAACCGCGGCGAAGCAGAATACGAGCGTATGCGCGACGCGGTCGACGCGGATACCAACGAGATCTTCTTTGCGGTTGTGGATCGGTACAGAGCAGGGTTGGAGAGCAAGAAGAAACCGTTGCAGCTTATCAGGGGTACGCAGGAGTTCTGTGACTTGGCGCTAGACTTGATCTTCTACATTAAAGATCACGGATTGCTTAGGCCGGAACCGAAATCCAAGGCTGCTAGGGCGGATAAGGGTGTTAAGAGGGGGCCGAGGGGTGGGGCAAAGGCTGATGAAGCGAAGGGCAAGGGGATTAAGAGGGGTACGACTGCGAAACCTAATGAGGTACAGCCGAGGAAAAAGGCGAAGACTGCGCCGGTGTTGGAGGTGAAGAAGAAGAGGTCGAAGCCAAAGACTTCGGGGATTACGGTTCTAAGAAGGTAAGAGGCTGCACTGAGGGAGTGGTGAATGATGATTTGAGTCTTTTCTGCTTGCGCTAAAGCAAACCTGGGACATGAGGCTTGAGATCGGTTTCATTTGAGCTAGCGATGTGTAAGATAGAAGGTGGTGGGCTGAGATCTACTTCTCCGTTGGCGTTGGTCAATTCGACATGCTCCTCGACACTACACCCTACATGCTACAAACCAAGGCAATGCGTAACACGGTCGACCCAAATTCCACGTACAGTCTTCGTGCTGTATTCTACATTGGTCGTCAACAGCCACTTGTATGGCGCATTTTTCTCCTCTTGGTCCCCGTATCGCAGCCATCCTTCCTCCACTATTGTACACAACGTCCCGAAATCATCATTAGAATAACCATAACCAAAGTTAAGTCTGTCGCAATGGAAGTAGATCCGCCGTGCTTGGGGATTAGATGTGATGATAGACATCAGCATCTGGGTAACGGCCCAGTGAGCAGGAACACAACCTAACAGGTGAGGCGGCGATATATCTGAATTGCGGGAGACTTTGAAACTAAGACGTTTGAGATTCAAAGAAGCCAACGGAATGTGGAATTGGTAGCAACTACGACGTCTCCCCGTTTTACAAGCCTCGGACATGAAGTGATCTTCCGAAAAGACGACGACGACTTTGCCAGGATCGATAATGGGTTCCACCTTGATGCTGAAGCCTTCTTCAAGTAACCAACTCGCTTCGTAAGCGCGATAGTACTTGTCGGCTGCCTTTTGGATCTCCTTTAGTGCTTCCGTCCGAATTTGCTTGCAGGTGCGTAACAAGCCGTCATATGCTGGCTGGCCGGAGTTAAAGATATACTGATCCTCGGGTGTAAAGTACTCGTAAACCATGACACGCAGCTCCATGGGGAGGTCCAGGAAAGTGAGTTTGCCTGTATCAAGGGCAATAGCAGCTTTGGTGAAGTTGCCCTCCAACTTTGCCACGTCGCTATCGCACCCTATGGGAGACGGAGAGAACATGTCTTGAGGATATCAGGTACTAGGTTTCGTGGAGCGGTCGCGTTGGAGTTGTTGAGTAGAGGTAATGGAGCGGGTGTGGATTGTGGAATACACAAGAGTAGGTAGCGAGGAATATAAGGGAAGGACAGCACGGGCTCTAGCCAGAAAGGGAAGACTTTGTCAGACTGGAGAAAATCATAAAGCACTCTAATCGTTCAAGGTTGTTATGTGCCGCATACCAAGATTATCAGTAGAAGATACTGATACATACACATACTACCAAATTTTGCGTCCAGTGAGGCGTCCCAAGGCTTAACCCCCCTCTTGTGTAGGACCGAACACTAGCCACATTGCACATGACGCTCGCCCTTGTCTATCTCCTGGACAATGACCTCTCCACACTTCAAGTTATAGCGCACGACTATCCTCAAGGATCGCGCCTTAACCTTGGAAATCATCTCACTAGCAGCGCGAACAAATATCTTAGCCTTTTAGACATCTTTGACATTATTGCATTATGCTAAGCTTCCAGCCGCTCGAATCACTATCTACTGCTTCTTGACTCCACTGTGGTAGTTATCAACAGGAGCAACTTCCTTGACGCTCTCCCAGATCTGCTCAATGCCCTTGACCGCCTCGTCGCTAAGCTTACCTGCCTTCAAGCTCTTGGCAGTCTGTTCAGCCTGGCTAACCTTGCTAGCACCGAAGATGACACCATCCTCATCGCCCTGAAGCACGCTGTGGTAGGCGACCCAGCGGTATGCTAGCTCCGCCTTAGTAACACCCTCCTTCTCAGCGATCTCGTTCCACTTGACAAGCGCCTTGCGCATAGTCTCGTTATCGTAAAGCTTTCCGTACAGATTACCTAGGGCTTTGTCGTTGAAGCGTCCCGCGCCTGCATCAAGGTCTGAGGCAGTCTTTACGAGGAAACCACCAGCAAGTGGCGAGTAGGCATAGAAATGGATGCCGAGCTTGCGGAGGGTAGGGAAGAGCTGGGTCTCCAAGTGGCGGGCAACAGGGTTATAGTTGCCCTGGTATACTTGTGGCAGAGGGTAGCCCTTCGCCTTCGCGATGTCGTATACCTCCTGTACTTGCTCGGCTGAAAAGTTGCTGAGACCGAAACGGCGGAAAATGCCCTTCTTGTATGCCTCGTTCACACCCGCCAGGGTCTCCTCAAAGGGAACAGTCGTGTCTGGTGCATGGATGTAGAAGATATCGAATTGATCGATCTTGGCGGTCTCGAGAGATTCCTGGGTGTCCTTGATCACACCTTCCTTTGAGACATTGCCAGGTTGTCCAAAGCCTCCCGCAAGCTTGGTGTCGATGACAAAGTCTTTGCGCTTCTCTAGCTGGCCAATGGCAACCTCTGACCCGGTGTAAATACGAGCAGAGTCAATGTTCTTAATACCATTGGCGATCAGGACATCGACGAGTTCGGCGCGCAGTTCTGGTGTCTTGAAGTGGCTAGAGTCTGAAAGCGCAGCTCCTCCGAAGATTGTCTTAACCATGGTGAAGGCGGGTATCGATTCCAAACGTGGTTTTGTGTGGGTTATGTGAGAGATTTGAGGGTGTTGTAGGCTTTGATTTTGTTATAGCTCTGATAGTGGGGACAGCACAGGCGATGATGTTGTTGATCCTGCTCGATGATGTAGTAGAAGAAGCCGCGGTTCAACTGTTGGTGATGCTTCCCCAACGCCCACCTTTCTTCTACTTATATACATACTTGGACAGGCATCCCCGCAGCCAAACACCGCTCGCGTACTTTTCGGAGCGTAACAGCGTTCCCATTACAAATGCGTCTCAAACACTAGTCATTCGTTGACGCCTACAGCACAACGGGCAGCCACGACAAAGCTAGGTCCACTTATTCCCGCGTAACCCCTCCTCGGTACATATTGCACAATCGCCAACCATGGAAATCGACCACTCGTATGCGTCCGGCGATATCATTAAGACCGATCACGTGCTATGCATGCACTTCTCACTCATCGTGGACGAATAAGAAACATGTCCATACGAAGCGAATGCGACAAAGTGAGCCTCGAGACTACGCAATAGCGATCTTACGGTTGGTGGCGCGAAGCCTGGACTAAGCCCTTTCTTGACTAGTGAACTTCATGCAACATTCGAGTAGTCCGTAACGGCGGACGAATAGTAAACATGACCGCAAGGCAACCCGTCCTCATGCTCAAGCAATGGACCATCACAGAACCATATAGAAAGTGTGATTATTATAATCTCCCATCTCTGCTCAGCATGCTTATCTTACAAAGAGTGCAAAACATTAAATGCACAACTCTAATGTTACATGCTCACTGCCACTGCCTATAACCTGTTCAGGAATACGATGAGGACTACGTACACTCCATGGACTTTGTGAATGCCTACATGCGTAGCGAACTCTGGTCTTACGAAATATCTGGATTGTCTGACTACCGTTCGGATCGGGGGGTGGACGCTCCGGTTAAATTGACTATACCCATCGTATTCTCCGCTTCGCAACCTCACTTGGGGGGAGGGAAGTCTTTCAGTTCTGATACTCAGCCTTGTGAGGCGGGCGTACAAATAGATTGCGTCAAGCTAAAGAACAAAAAGAAAGCGACACATGTTGCTGCATATGTATACTAGACATACATTGGGCTAACGACAACGGGTGATCCATCGGGTTGCAAAAGATTAGACTAGCATCTCTCACAAAATCTAAAATAGTCTTCTTGGTCTTACCAGGACATGCACTATCCAAACTATACGATGCGACGCGATGCCCAACCAGATTCATACTCTCTGCGACCATCAAGATGGTCCAGAAGCCATCTCCGTCCAACCACCATCTGCTCTCCAAACTCCAGCTTTCGTGTAGTCGCCTCTTCCTCCACCTTTCAAGTATCCAAAGCGGAAATATTCGTTGACATTTTCCATGTGTCTAGTCCAAGTCCAGCTTTCCTCCATACGGTCAGCGTATTCATGGTACCTTTCCACATCGTTGACCAAGATACTTATCCCGTCATAAGGTTCGGGGAAAGGGAAGTGCCAATCGAAGGTGATATTCGGTCTCAAATGGTGAATGTTCAGGTTATTGTGGATGATTGGCGCAGTAATAATAGGAAGTAAGGTGCCCATAGGTGCGTCACCGCGAAGTGCACTAGGCGTCTCGAGGATGCTGGCGAAGCCCCACCGTGCAGTGCCATTGATGAAGAGGCCGATCAAGATGCCTTGAAAGAGTAAAGATGGACGTGTTTGCATAGATGTACCAGGAACAAGTAGCAAGCCGAGGATATAGTGGTGGATGCGAACATTCATCTTTGGGATGGCAACAAGCGCAAGAATGCCTCCGACCAGAGCACCATAGATGGCGAGGTAGCGCGGCAGGCGACCCTCGACACGGAACGACCAGGCTTGTCCCAGGGCGATGGTGAACAAGATAAGGACGATAATGATCAGCGCTGGAATGGCACCTGGCTGATTCTTGATGTCGTGTGGTGTGAGGCGCTCGATAGGAATCTTGTCGAACGTGTAGTTGTTTAAAGCGCCGATCCAACATCCTCCAAGCCAAAGGATGGTTTTCTCAACCTGTGCGTGGAGGCCTTGCAGTTGACGACGCACCGCAAATTGGTAGACGGCATACATGCAGAATGATGCCGGAAGAAAGCGCCCCAAGGCAATACTGATGATGGAGTAGTAGTCGGTAAGGTTTGGTGGGTCTGATGCAAGCGCAACGTGGAAGAAGACACCAAAGAAGATGGAGGAGAAAAAGACGGATGGCGATGTTGTGAACAAAGACAACAGGATGGTAAAAGTTAGCGACACGCCTAGCAGTGGCCACCGCAGGTCGCGACATTTGGCTTGTGTACCAGACAGGAAGGAGAAGGACCGTGGGAAATAAGAGTCAAAGCCAATACTCTTAATATGCCTCCTGTTCACGCTGGGGTACTCGTTCTTCTCACCAACCTGCGCAACAACTCCGCAACCACCGGACGCGTCGTTTATAAAACCAGCATGAATAGCCGCTCCGCAGATGAAAGAATCAGCACGGTAGTATGTGTTTTCCAGTGTCTCTTCCTCGTCGGTGGGTCCACCAATAACGAGTTGACGGTAATTTACGTTCTTGTCACCAACAGCATGTGGATTCAGCAATTGCTCGCGCCTACAGTTTGCCGGGCAACGGAACGGCATGGTACTGTTCTCGAAGGGCCGGCAGAGATCCCCATTTAGCCCGCAACCATTGCCATCGCTCCAGAAGCGATCTGTACACCGTATGCGCACTGGGCTTCCGTATCCCGGTATGTCTGCTGCGAACGCGCTACGATGCAGGACCAATCCAAAAGTGAGGAGCCAGCAGAAGTAGAAAAAGACTAGCAGGGCAATCTTCTGTCTTCGCTCTGGGAAGTAGTTGTTCAACAACTGGATCGGCGCAGTCTGTATCTTGGGAAAGAAGGGATGTATCTTCCACGGTCGTGGTGGCTGAGGACCCTTGACCCATACAACAACATTGTTCCATGTACGTTGCAACCGCGGTGGAATGTATTTACTGGTGTAGTAGGGCTCTTGTGGGCTATAGTACTCCTCGCCGGATGTCTCGGAGTTGGCGGGTACGTCGGCAGGCTCGGCAGAAGAAGTGTTCGCAGTCTCGTCGTCGCGATATGCCTGGGGAGGCGCGCCCTCATCGTCAAGGCTTTCTCGTGGCTCCATGTCGTAGAGGGACGCCAGCTCGTGGCGCGAACGCGTTGGGGACGACAGTTTGGTAGCGAATGGGATGACGATGCGCCGAGGCTTGAGAGATGCTTATCGATAGGAATAGGCGGAACGACGGAAGATGATGAATGTCTGGTTGACTAGAGAGAAGCAAGATGGCTATGCATGAGGTTAAGTGAAGGGAAGTCTGAAAGAGCTGAGGCAAAAGTATAGCTGCAAGGAAAGAGCTCTGGGGAGCTTCGGGACCTGCATGATGCGGGCCTGTGGAGTTCCCACGTTCCGGCTTCACGGCGCTAACACGCTAGTCGGCTCTCGAGTACGAGGTATTGGGTGTCCGCGGCACAGGCAAAGAAAGTATCGTGTTGTACGTGTCTACGGAGCTGGGGATATGGCGACTGGCATGGTTCCAAGTAGCTGCAGATAGCTTCCCCAGATGCTGCTGCCATGCGTAGCTCAACGTGGCTCAACGCGGTCTAGGCGTGCCATGCGGCTTCCCGTTTGGTGATGAGGTCACTGTTAGCTGGCATTTCTAATCAGCGCCCTTATCGGGCCCTCGGACCATTTGCTACGGGTGGCCGAGCGTCTCCATCTTTGTTAATTGCCTTTCACCTCTTTGGACTTGATTGTTTTTACGGATTTGAGAAAGTTGTTGTTGCCTTTGACGCGCCTAGATAAACTTCCCGAAAAACACCGGATTCGGCAACATTCCTATCATGGCGCCGTACAGCTCTGATCCTAGCTCTTTCCCCGAGCCAGTGGATCTCACCCACTTCCTGTCCAGGAGCACCAAAGCGCGCGAGGCTTCCTCAATCAAGCAATTTTACAAGTACTTCCAGATTCCTGGCATTGCCCAGTTGGCCGGAGGTATGCGCGCTTACACACCTTTGTTTTGCCACTAATCGCTTACGCATCGCAGGCCTGCCCAACGACCACTACTTCCCATACGACACGCTCGAGGCCAAGGTCGCACACCCGAACCGATGGCAGCCAACACCAAACAAGCCCGTCGACCCGCCCGCCGAAGACCTCCCGTCCGCCCAATTGAAGAAGACGTCCATCTCAGAGCGTAAAGAGAAGGAGCCACCCGCGTCGCGACTTGTTGTACCCAAGTACTCCAACGTGCAAGATCCCCTTCGCATGATTGATCTCAAGTCCGCACTACAATATGGCCAGGCATTGGGATACCCTGCTTTGTACCAGTTCATCCGACAGTTCACGAGGGAGAACCTACATCCATTTGTGCCATACAAGAACGGTCCTGAGGTCATCTTGACCTGCGGCTCTACCGATGGTTTCTCCAAAACACTGACCGCGCTCAGCAACGAGTGGTCAGCTGATCATGACCCTGTTGATGAGAGGCCGGGTCTGTTGTGCGAAACCTACTGCTACATGAACGCTATCCAGACCGCTCGGCCGCGCGGTTTCAACATTGCCCCCGTAGCTATCGACGATGAGGGCATGATGGCGCACGGCGAAGGAGGTCTGGAGGACGTTCTGGAGAACTGGGACTTCTCAAAGGGCCGCCGACCGCACATCATGTACACTGTGACTATTGGACAGAACCCTACATCAGGTACTCTGTCTGTACAAAGAAGAACCGAAATCTACGCCCTTTGCGTCAAGTACGATGTCATTATCGTCGAAGACGACCCATACTGGTACCTACAGTATCCATCATCATCGCCCAGCAGCGTTCCTCCAAAGCCCACCAAGTCTTCCGGGTTCGAATTTCTCGACAGTCTGATTCCTTCATATCTCAGCGTAGACTACCAAGGCCGTGTCGTACGTCTCGACACATTCTCCAAGACTGTAGCTCCAGGGTGCCGTCTTGGTTGGATCACCGCACAACCCGCGCTTGTAGAGCGTCTCCTTCGCATCACCGAGACTTCGACTCAGCAACCCTCTGGTTTCGTCCAGTCTATGATCGCAGAATTGCTCATGGGCCCTCAGTCATCAAATGACCCTGGAAAAGGTGGCGCCGCCGATGGCAGTGGCTGGAAAGTCGACGGATGGGTGCGCTGGCTGGAAGGTCTTAGGGGAAACTATGAGCGTCGCATGTCGGCTATGTGCGATACACTCAACGCTGGCAAGGAAGTCGTCAAGGCTGGGCGCCGAAGGAGCCTCGTTGATGTCGTAGACGAAGAAGAGGACTGGGCTGTGGTCGAGAAGACCAACATGTACTCATTTGTTCGTCCTCTCGGCGGCATGTTTGTCTGGGTGCGATTCGACTTTTCGTCTCACCCACTCGCCAAGCAAGTACCTGCCGGTCGTCTTTCCAAGGCCCTTTGGGTGTTCTGGACATCGAAGCCATATCTGTGCCTCGTAGCACCAGGTACCATGTTCGCAGCCAACCAGGAAATCAGAGACAACGATAGCTTCAACTGCTTCAGGTTGTGCTTCGCTGCTTGCCCCACGGAAGATGTCGATGATATCAGCAAGAGATTTGTGGATGGTGCACAAGCATTCTGGAGGATCAAGAGCAAGAGCAAGATTGATAAATTACTGGAGGATGAGGAGACCGCGATCGCGGGTGTAGATCACGTTGCGGGTATGGCCGTGCTAACGGGAATGTGTTGATGATTTATGAGTAATCTGAGTAATACATAGTTTTCGGACGCCATCAGACATTTTAAGTTCATGGCAGGTGTTTCAGGCCATGCCACGTGCTGAGCGGATACAGGCACAAAGCATATGATGATTGCGTCTTGCGGAGTAGTTACCGTCCCCGACCCTCTGGAATTAGTGCATCTATCTCCCGCGTCTCGCGCTGCTTGAGCGACTAACAAGAGCATGGATCATCGTGGTTAAGAACTCGAAACTAACGCGGCTGGTGTTTTCAGTGGGCCCAGACAGTAACAGACCAGAGTCAATATTGATTAAGTATTATGTACACCAGATTGATGGAGGAAGCGCGCTACGCTCTCCTATCACTCGCTATCTACTTGGAGGCCTTGGCATCAGCAAGGATGGCGTCTGACGCCTTTTCCGCCAGCATGTAGAGGGGAAGGGCGAGGTAAGTACCAGGGATCTTGGGGAAAGAGGAAGCATCAACGATACGAAGACCATCGACACCACGGACCTTGAAGTTGGTGTCGAGAACAGCATTCGGGTCGTCGTCAGAGCCAATGGGGCAGGTGCAAGAAGCATGGTGGCCCCAGGACTCGTACTTGGCGAACTCCTTCCACTGTGCGTCGGTCTGAACTTGCTTTCCGGGCCAAACCTCAGTGAACTTTCCATCGAGAGGAATGAGGTCTTGGAAGATCTTGCGGCCGTACTTCATTCCCTCAACAAGGGCATCAAGATCCTCGTCACCGCCAACATCGAAGTTGCGCTTGCGAATCTCGGGAACATCTTGGGGATCAGCGCTGCGGAGGGTGACAGTGCCAGCGTTGTTGCGCGATTCGGCCTTGAGAGTGAGCCAAGTCCAGGCGTCACGGCCGGCGGTAGCGTTGGCGAAGAAGTTGGGGTAGTAACCGTTGAAGTACGCGGGCCAACCAGCGACGAAAAGATCAGCGTTGCCGTGGATAGAGTTGCTGGCCTTCTTTGTGATGGCAAGAGCAATACCGTTGGTAGCGTAAACTCCCTTTCCGATACCGAGCTTACCAGTCTCCCACTTCTCGAGGCAAGGGTCGTAGTCGCCTTCGAGGAAGGTGCAGCCGTTCAGAAGAGAGATCTTGCTGGGTGCCTGGCCGATGACGGGAATTTCGTAACGATCCTGGAGGTTTGTGCCGACACCTGGGAGATCCTTGACAACATTGATGCCGAACTTCTCGAGCTCAGCCTTAGGACCGACACCGGAGAGCTTCATGATCTGCGGGGTGTTGAAAGCACCAGCGGACAGAATGACCTCGCGAGTGGCCTTGACGGAACCCTTTGTTCCCTTGCCAGAAGCAGATCCAGACTGGCGCCTTGGGTCAGCGCCATAGAGAGACTTTCCTGTCAAGAAGCTGACGCCAGTAGCCTTGGGCTTCGCACCAGACTGGTCAAAGTCGACGTTGGTGACGAGGGTGTTGAGTTGGATGTCGAGATGGTACTTTCGGCTTCCATCACTGTTCTTGGCATCCATGACCTGGTGAAGGAAGTCGACAGGGCCTGCACGCTTGTACTCTGGAATCTTCATGGCGAGAGGAACCTGCCACATGCCCTCGGCAGAATCACGGTTAGGGCCAGGGTTGTTGATGTCGCGAAGGAGAACCTGGCCGAGACCAGTAACGGTGGTAAGGAGTCCTGAGAGGAGGCTCTTTCCCATACCCGTGGCAGCAGCCAGAACGAGGGAAATGACCTTGAGGTCCTGAACAATCAAGGTCAGGTCAGTCAGAGAGGTCTCGAGCCAACCTGAGAATCCGTGTCCAACAACGCTGTTGGGTAGGTAGCGCGCCTTCTCCAGACGTTGGTAGTACTTGCGCATCTTGCTTGGTGCCCAGGAATCATCGCCGGTGATAGCCTGGATGCCACTCCAGTCACTGTCGTATGGGTATACAGTGATGAGGGCGTTGTGAACAGTGCAGCCTCCAAGAGAGCCAACACGCGGGTACAGAATACCCAGGGGTTTGGCACCGGCAGGAGGGTTAGGGCCTGTGTAGCGAGTGCCATCAGCAAGCTCATATGTAAGCTTGGTATCCTTCTTCATCTCCGCTTCGTCGTCGAAGTGCTTGACGAAGTAGTCCCATCGCATCGGCTCGTATTCGGCGGCAACAGAGTGCAAGACAGGCACGTTGTATTGAGTAGTGTTGGTCTGGTCGTCACCAGCTTCAAGAAGGAGGACCTTGTGACCATTGAGAGCCAGTCTGGCTGCGAGAGGTGCACCGCCAGCACCAGAGCCGACAATGACATATTCGTAATCCTCAAGCGTGGTGGTGTTGGTAGCACTCACAGCACGCTTGACATTCAGTCCGCGGTAAGGAGTGTGTTCCGCGCCATCGATGATGTTTGCGGCAGTGAAGTTGGTGAGTAAAGAGAGGACGGCAAGAGCCTTCAAGACAATCATGGTGACGGTA